AGATATTCAGTTGTGGGTGTTTAAGATGCACCTGCACACCTTTTGGAGACCTGTGGCATGTGAAATACTACATCTGTATGAGACAGGAACACAGGAATTGCCAGATCAGACCAGTGATCCATCTGGCAGTTCATCCCGTCTCCAGCTATAAGCAGAGCAAGAGGCTTCAAGTGAAAGGTGCTGTGACTCCAGTAATGAACAGTTATGGAATATGTTTATGGTGTACCAAATCATGTACAGAATTCACCCATCAATGAAATGGGTATATCTGGGTGGAGTATCTGAACTCTTCTGAATGTTACTTTCTTTTTTACAATATTCTTTATTATTTGTTTTGTGGGAGTGCTGAGGAGTACCATTTTCTCCTGTCTTTTCCTTGTTTATCCACTTAGTGCTGAGGATGTGTGTCCCAGCACCCAAATTCAGGAGATGTTTCTGTCAAGATGAGTAAAACATGATCCTGTTAATATCTTGAAGGTACCCAGAGAGGGTTGTATTTCTTGGCAACACCAGGAAATAATGATACTGAGCAACTTGCATTTGATAATCTAAAGGCACTTTACAGACACTAAGCATTACAACACTTCTGTGAGGTGAGGAAATATTATTGTACAAATGCGGAAACTAAGGCATAGAAAGTCTAATTGATTTACTCAATGTTGGACAGCAAATTTGAAAGAGCTGAGAATAGAATCCAGAATTCCTGTGTGTCACAAGACTATTCTGTTCCTTCCTATTCCATTCTCCTGGGTCTCTGGCATTTATCTACAGTATTCAGCTCATATTTAGAAAGGGCTGAGGGTTCGAGAAAATAATATTGGTGAAGGACTTTGAAATTCAGTAATTCCTACTTGTCTGGTCTTGAGGATTTAATTCCAATCTCCTCTTCTCTAGATTAAGGTTATTGACTCAAAAGTATAGCCAATTGCTTGACGACTCTCATGGTCCATTCTTAAAATGTTCAAGAGACTAAATACCTGAATTTAGCTAAATGTATTGTCCGAAGACAAAGCAGTACAATGCGAAAAGGAGACATACATACCCTCTTTCCAGGATGCAAATTCTCTCAGCTTGCTCACCTTACACAGAAGACGGTACTTCAAAGATATGCATTTCAGCTATTTATAGTATGATTTTACACGTATGTAAAATAGTATAGTATGGTATTTGTAGTATGATTTTATAAGTTACAAAACTTTCTATATGTCACTAAAATCCAACCCACCTGTTCGTACCAATTCCTTAATTTGTTGTTCTGTACCTTCCTTGTCTTCATTTCAGATATTAGTATTCCAGGTATTGATCTGTGAATATATGTCCCTATACTTTCCTATGTCTCATTTTGAATACTACATTCCAAGTGTTGATGAGCCGTGAAAGTACACCCTAACTGTGCTTGGTACAAAGTATTCATGCATCTTTGCTTTGACAAGTTTCCTATTTTCTAATGCTAAAGCTAACGTCAGCTTTGCAAAGTATTGTGAGATATTTTATATGGATTAACCGAATTGTGGGAAGAGCATAATCTGTTAAATTAGCATAATTTCCCAACACATGTATATCCTATTACTGCCATGCATATAATATCAATTAATGTGATATATACTACACCTAACATATATGTATTGGCTAACAAGGTTCAGCTTCTGGATCTTTCTGACTTGTTTGCAGATGTTTTTTTAAATTAGGGTATCTTGTTGGTAGGGCAAATTATAAATGCATGAAATCAAACTTGTCCATTTCTGTGCTCTGGTGGTATTTAGAGTTATATCCCATATCATTTTTAAAAATCCATTGTGTTTCTGAGTTCAAAGAACACAAGCATTTTTCAGGCTGACAGGCAAGTGAATGCTTAGGAGGATACAGACATTTGTATGCTCAGGGGAAAATGACACATTTTTCTACAGATGGGTTTTTCCTCTGTACCTATAAGAGCTGACATGATGATCAAAGGATCCTTAGTACCAAAGCTTAAATTCCCTGCACTTACCTCCGGTAATGGATTATTTTTGTGTCTGGTGCAAATGAGCTGCATGGAGGAATCTTTCTCCCATATTTGGAGTCCCCAGTAAATATACTGGGGGGAGGATAACTACCAGGGAGATGAAGAGCTATTTAAGCTGAAAGACAATGTTGGCACAGGAACAAATAATCATGAGCAAATCTAGGCTGGTTAGAAGGTGGTTTCTTTCTAGGTGTTGGTACAATGCCTAGACAATGGGATTTTGATCCTCTAGACATGAGTGTAGTACAAATAATAAGATGAAAATATTGTCAGACAAAGGGGATCCCTTTAAGCCTCCTCAGTCCTTTCAAGACCCTCCCTTTTCTATTTTCCTTCTTGGCAGGGATCTTTTATGGATTAAAGTTACTGATTGGCATCGGTTTAAAAAAAATGATTTACAATGTAAGGACTGGTTTCTAAATTGCTCACTGCTTTCTTTCATATTTATTTGCATGGCTCCTCACTTCCCATAGTATCGGAGTGCTTTACAATCTTTAATGTGTTTATCCCGACTCTGTCCCTGTTAGATAGGGTACAGATGGGGCACTAAGTCACAGAGAAACTAAGTGATTTTCCCAAGCTGACACAGGAAATCAGTGAGTGGCAGGCCAGGGAATTGAACCTGGATTTCTCAAGTCCCAGGTAATATCCAAACCACTGGACCATCCTTCCTCTCTGAAAGGCATGTTCATATAGAGCAACATAACATCTGTGGTTGCGGTGACTCTTTTCTTTTTGGGTCAACAGTCACAATTTTCCAAGCAGGAACCAGTCAGCAACTTCATTGCCCTCCCCAACCCTAGTAATTGCTGCTGTGGAAAATGGAAGGAGTTGTGTCTAAAATGGTATAATGAAGAAAAAGTTATTCGGGAACACAATAGACAATATAAAAACTCAACCACAAACTAGAAATGGTGGATGAACCTAAAGCTCTTGTGCTTTCCCCCTGTCTGTGTTCAAGGTTTTGCTCTGTATCACGTACACCTCCACATTTGACCTGAATGGAAGTTCAGTGCTAAAGATTGCTGAGGTGAGTGCCCTCCATCCCCCACTAACATTGCTTGTTTTTCTTGACCTATTGCCACTAACTAGAATGTGCTTTCTATACATAGACTGGGATTGATTTAATCAAAACAATTGCAGTTATTCTTAATGATTGATATTACCCTTGTTACCGTTTATTAGTCAACATGATTAGCAACCTCAGTGCTGACAGCTGTAGAAATGCACTGGAAGATGCACTTTCTACTCATGGAAATTCTTCTTAGTGGCTGCTGTGTATTACAGTATTGTCTGTGTTTAAAACTTTGCATGTTTTGCTTTGCCTTTAACAGTAATAAAATTTTCTCCTTCAATTTTACAACATGTAGGGCCAAATTCATCCCTGGTGAAACTCCACCAAATTTAATACAGTTACATCAGAGATGAGATTGACCTATAATGTGCATTGTTAGTGTGTCCCTTATTCCTGATGCGTCCAAAAAAAGGAATTATTACATCCCTAGATTTATTATGTTATTCCACTGGCATTAATCAATCTTCCTTTGTCCTCATTACATTTGTCTGGATTAAATTGTAAAAAGGGCTTTGGCAGCTGGAAAATGCACCTGCCAACAGCAGATCTGTTTATAAGTGAGCATTTTCAGACAAGTGCTCTATTTAGTTGCACAGTGAGTTTCAAGCAGTGAGCCTTCCATGTAGCCAGGAAGGAAGAAATGCATAGAAATACTCAGCCCTATTGCATGGCAGGGGCTGCTGTGTATATAATATAGTATAAAATTATATTGAATTACACTGCATAGGGTTGAGGGGAATGTATACACACTTAACATCAATGTATAATACAGCAATGAAAAGGTTTGTATGAAAATCTTTGAAAACTCCGTGACCTAACACCCCTCTGCTTTTACAACACTTGTTAGCTTTTCTTTTCAGTAGTGGGGAATAATCATAATAATTTATTTCTACATTGATAATTACAGATGGAGATATCAGTCTGTGTTCTGCTGTTATTTAAAAGCTTGGGAAGTGACAAGTGAAATTAGTGAACAGAGAAAGAAAATGACTAACAATTGCGAGTCAATGTCAATTTTTCCTTGGTTCATGAAGAAAAGAAAACCTGATGGAAGTACCTAGCTTTACCTGGCAGTGGTAGCGTTTTATAAATCTGGGGATGACATTGATCCAGCATCACCCTGTTGCTACCTAGGGGGGAAAAGCATGGTAACTAAGAAAACTAGCTGTCTTACCATGGTAACTTAACTGCTAAAACGTAACTAATTGACTTTGCAGGCAGACGGAGACAATTTTTGTATCCAATACAAAATGTTAAAACTCTAAGACAGTCCTAAAAACGTGCCATGTACAGAATACATGATAGTACTAATTTGGGATGACCTGTGTAACTCATGGTTTCACCCCCTTGAATAATGTTAGGAAATCCAAACTCATGAAGAGTAACTTCTGTTTTCCTGGGGGCTCTGTAGGAGCCTCACTACTTGGGGCTGTAGCAAAGATGACTAGATCAGCAACACCTACCTCCTCCCTGCCCAGGCAACCCTCTTTCTCAGGCTGTGCTAAACCTCTGTTGCCCCAATCCCCCATACAGAGGCAAACTTATGGCTCCTTTACACGACTGCAGCCTCTCTTTGGCAGACTTTCTTCTACTGTGGAGGGCAGAAGCTGATGAAAATTGAAGGTGAATCTAGCCCAATGTATCCATGAACTGTAGATCAAGAGATACAGTAAGATGCAATACACATTGGAAAAAGGGTTTAATAGCTCCAGTATTTCAACCTTTGAGCTGCTACTTCAGGTAGTGGAAATCAATTGTCAGTGCTTCATGTTCTTTGTTCCTTGGGGGCATCCCAAAGACTGTGAGCATTATCTGAAGTCATATTTTCTATTTCTGCTGTGCATTTTCAGATAATGATACGCAAATGACACATAACTGTGTTTCTCTTTAAAACACCCTGATCAATGCCAGCTTTGCTTCATGTTAAGTATTGGATCCTGCCATTGTTTAGTGGTTCTGCCATATCCTCACTCTTAAAAGGCCATGTCTACCCTTAAAACTTTTGCCGGCATAGTAAAGTCAGTTAGGAGTATGATATTTTTTATCGGCAAAAACTGAGTGTAGATGAAACTATATTGGACAAAAAAACGTTCTTTTGCTGGGTTAGCGCATTTTGTTCAGGGAATCAGTGTCAGCTATCCAAGCAAAAACCAGCATCAGCTCTGACTACATTAGGAGCGTTTGCTAGTATACCTATACAGAAAAGAACCTATCAGCACCTTTTGGCTTTGTGATTCTGGCCCATAGATATTACAAAGGCTTTAACATTTGAAACCCGAGGACTCAGTTCTCCCCTGCATCTGAACTCTTCCCAGTGCTGGGGTGGTAGTCAGTGGGGTTATTCAGCACTGGCCTGGCCCCAGCATCAGCTGCTCAAACTTATTTCAGTGGAGAATTGGCATAGTTCTCTTCTGCCATGTGCCCATTCTTCCTCCTTTCCCTGATGTGTCCCATAGTAGGGTGGAGCTGGTGCTAGAGTAAGCTCTTCTGTCTCTGCTCATCTCTTGCCAATGGGAGTTCCCCTCCAATAGGAATTATCTTCTGGCAAGTTACAGCTAGAACCTGGCCACTTTGCACCACCTGATCAGTCCAGAATGGAGGCACCCCACATTAGTGGATACATCTGAGCATTTTGGCCTTAACCTTAACCTCAACCTCAGTTTCCCCATCTTTAATCTGGGGGCCATAATGTTCATTGGAGTTCTGTGAAGGGTAAGGAGATAATATTTGTGAAGTACTCTGACCATGAAGAGTGTTGTATAAATGGCTTAAATATTATTCGTGTTGAACCTACAGTCAACCTAGCTATATACATTCCTAATTGCATACAATACCTTTAATTTTGGTCAGGCCCCTGCATGAAAGGTTATTTCATGCTTTGTGACTTGTTTATCTTCTTTTATCTATTCCCACCCATGTTTTTGGAGATTGTCTTGTTTAATCCATTGCATTGCTTTGTCTAATCCTTTGTATTTTGCTTTCTTAGCTGTGTTTTGCATGTCACAAAGCTGGAAGCCCCCAAATGCATGAAATGATCAAAGTGTCCATTGCACACCTCTTCAGTGCCCTGTGCTCTCGCATTTTTACTGGTGCAGCCCCACCAATGACATTTCACAAGGTATCATGCTTGGCTTGCGAGACTGGAGCTCAGCTGAGCAACAGTGCTGCACGTTAACACACAAGGGGCGGGGGAAGAAAAAAGGGGAAATCGATCCTGCTCTTTCCAGAAAGTCAGCCTGCCTTTAAATTTAGTCTTTCCACAATTCTTTCAGTAAGCTGAATTAGAGAAGAATATTACTATTCAAACCCTCGCAGCACACACAGTTCCTATGAATGATTTGGCCTCAGCAAGGTCTGAATTGCATGATTGTAAGTGGTCGATAGGATTTTGTATTCCTTGCCCACTGGAATTCTTGTGTGGTATACGATGGCAACCTCTGTTCCACGTCTCCTTTTGAAAATGACAGAAGAGTAAGGATTTTCTTGTGCTGTCAGAAGCATAAATAGAAAATCACACTGGCTCAGCAAGATAGAGCATTACGCTATCCGTAAACTGAGGTATTTCATATGTATTTCCTTAGGCCCCAGTGCTGTAATGGATCTGTATTGGCAGATCCCTGCTCCTCGTTGAAGCCAATGAGGTGATGCACAGTTCCAGGGTCTGTTCATATAGGTCTGACTGCAGGTTTAGAATGTATCCTGTTCAGTGTAGGAATTCTGTATTTGTTTAGATGGTTTTCCTGTCGTGAAGCACTGTGCACTATATAAATAACAGTAGTGACAGCTGCATGGTACCTTTTTACACATTTAAGATAAAAAGCTTTAATCTGCATTGACAGTCTGTGCAGTGTGAGACCTCATGCATCTTTGGAATCTTCCTCACACATCTACTAATTAAGATCATGCTGAATGAAATTCCTCACTTACCTTAGGAAATATAACACTCTCAAAGGTCAACAGATGCCCCAAAGGCCAAGATGAACTGTAGGTTCTGTCCATTATCTGATGCAAATGCCTTCAGCTTTATCAGGCTTTAATGTATTGTTAAGATGGGGACACATGCAAACCTGAGAGAGGAAATAAATTAATTTCATCTTTATCTTGCCTCTGTTACGTAAGAGGCACAAAATATCATATGCTACATATCGTGTTCTCATAATGCTACACTGGGACATAACAGAGTGACTGGGATGAGAATGGTACAAGAGCTATAGTTCAGATTATTCCAGTGTGTGGCATTTTGGCTCTCACAATTTACACTAATCAAGCATATATTATTTCTAACCAAGGAATTCAGTCATGCTTTATTGTGCCCAAAATTCTGCCATGAGGCAGAAATCCTAAAAGCATTAGCACCTCTCACATCTGCTGGATATGTCTGCTGAAAGGAGCAGAGATGATAAATTCAAAGGGATTCTGGGATCTGGTCTTATTCTCCATTCTGTTATATTAAAAGTAATGCACATGGACAGCAGTTCCATTTTAACCTTACTCCCTGTCCTTCTCCCACTGAAGTTAATGGCAAAGCTCCCTTTTGATTTCAGTAGGAGTCGGATCAGGCTCTTGATTCTGTTACTGTGTACATATCAGCACTGATTAGTCCACATAATGAGCTAACCATCTTTAAATTTTCATCTTACAAGCCGGACTTCCTCCTCATTAGGGAAATATAAGTATCTAAAACAAGAAAACGCTGTTTTTATTCCATCTATGCTCCTATACTTTGAAAAAGGACAACCAGTTAAATTCAAATTTTGTTTCGAAAGATGTCTGTACAGAATATACCAGCTGTATATTAATCTGCGTACATACAGTATATGCAGTGTTGTTCCTTTTCTCCCTATGACTAGAGGGGTGTTAACAGGCCCCTTCACCTTGAAATACATGTTAACTACTAATGCTAAACAATCTGTTCCATCTTGTATTTTGCTGAGACACACAGAGTGTTTCCCAGACCTGAAGAAGAGCTCTGTGTAAGCTTGATAGCTTGCCTCTCTCACCAACAGAAGTTGGTCCAATAAAAGATATTACCTCACACACCTTGTGTCTCTCTACATACAGCATATGCAGAATGTATGTATTCATTGCCAGGATGACTTTACGGAGGAGTTATAACCCTTCCAAGATGACTGTATGATAGAAATACTGACACATCTGAATGACCGCACCCTGAAGAGTACAACAGGTAGTGTTACGAACCCATTTACACAAAGGCTGACTGAACTTGTATGAATAACTTCACAGTCATAGACAGAATCACAGAGTTCAACATATGCCAAAGTGAGTGGAGTTGCTCCTTTGGATCACAATTTATTAATAAGTTTGTGTTAAACAGTCTGGTTCCAATCCCATGATATAGATTACAGGAGGCACGAATTACCTCATATCTCAAACCAGAGGCTGCTGCATCAAAAATGACAACACAGTAATTACAAACTCTTCGTGAGATAAACACCTTTTAAAAGAAATCTGGTAAAGGACATTGCAGTGGGCATAATACCATATCCTTAGCATTCCATTGCATTTTGATACTATCTGCAAAACATTGTCTTTGGACAGAGTCCAAGAATGGAAAAATTCAGCCCTAAAGATGAAAGTTTGCAAAAGTTACAAGCAACTGAAAATGTAGTTAGTATGGAAACTCTGATGCAACATGAACTGTAGCAGTCACTGTCGCTCTCACTATAGTAAAACTAAACAGATAAAAAAATTTTCCATTTATGGGCACGAAAAGGTTATTGGATACTGTAATAAACATAAATTAAAACTATGATTTACAATGAACAATCAAGATGCCTAGTTGCATCCTAGTAGCAGAAGCTGTCTGAAAATCCCTAACATATTACTCATAAAAAACCCACGCAAATAACAATTGATGCAAATAACCTAAAAAGAAACAAAAACCTTTTTGAACTCATATGAGAGGATGCTGCTGCTTATCTACTAGGGGCAGAATTCCAGAGTAATGGTCCCTGTAGGTTCATTTGGTCCCTGTTGATGTCATGAATACATCACTGGAATTAAACAATAGGGCTAATATTTGAAAGCAACATCCAAAGCACAAGCTACTGCCTGGGCATCATAGTTTGACAGGATGGGGAGTGGTTGCCATTTTTGTCTTGCCACCTCAACATGCACAGCACTTCAGAAACCTGACAAATTGCATGCTGCTTTTAAACCATATTGTTTTTGGGCTATTCGCATGGCTGAAAAAGTTCTAACACTATGCACTAGTAAATCTGGCTGACTTTCTGCATGAAGAGACCTTCACTTCCTCCCGAGATGGTCTACAGTTAAATTGTTGTTTATATCTATGTGCTGCTATCTTGTTTCCTCACCAGGTTTGCATTGAGACATATGTATCTAGCTGTCACCAGCGGAGTATTAACACCGCTGTGCGGGCAACCCTCAGCCAAATGTTGAGTGACTTGACTTTACAGTTACGGCAAAAGCAAGAGAATACGGTGAGCCTTCCGGCATCAACAGATGGTTCAGTATTCCATGGCTGTGTGCTTTTTGTGTCTCTGCATGCAGTGTTCTGTGGCTGGGTGCTGTGCCTTCTGGCGTTCCAGCATCAGTCCTGTTTAAAACTGCCTCCTTTTGGGGCTAACAAATGCCTAACAAATCCTTCAACAGAAACAACTCTTCCCTTCCAGCAGACAGGCTCTACGTTTTGATTTGCAAGAAAGGCTTCATTCTGATGTGAGATTGTCTTGACTTTGCTTCCTTTTTCTGTTCTTTTATTTTGTGTGTTTATCTTGGTGAAGTCCAGTTGAAATCCTTTTGCCAAAACTTTCTTAAATATTAAATGTTGCCCGTACCAAATAAATTCTTAGCTACAGAAAGTATATTTGTATTACTTAAGTAATTTTAATTACAAAATTTAAGCCAAATCCTTTTGAATGTATATCAAATTAAATGATTTGGGCCAGAGGGCTTCTTTACCTGCTGGCTTACTGTCAAAAAATGACTGCATTTTTTTTATTGCCTTTATTGTGTTGTTAAAATCCACAAGAGCTGTTTGCATTAAACGCCAACGTATTGTCTAGATGGAATTATAAGCACTTCTGGGCAAATTTGAAATGACTTTGGCTTCTTGCACTTTTGAGCACTTCCTTGCATATTAATGAAGAAATTATTTGCCTTTGTGTGTTTGTTTGCTTTGTTAGCGGATTTTGCATCTGTCAGTTGTGTAGAGGTTTAATCTTAAAGCAGTTGTGCTGGGTTCAGTAAAACAGAGATCTTTTTTAAAAAAATTAAATAGCCAGAATTTAAGTATAGCATTAATCTGAGAAATAACTGTAAAATGTAATTCTAGGGTTACTTATCCTTTCTCCATATACAGTGTGTCCAGTTTATAAGTAAAAAGATTTTTTTTTCCAAGCTGGAAGCTCTGCAAATTCTATCTGGATCTGAAAACTGAGTTAATTTACTTCTGCTTGTACATCCTGACTATAATGGAGATTCTGCAAACTGCACTTAGCTCCTGACAATTTTCTGATGATACATGAGAGACAAGAGAATTGACCTTGTTCTTCCGTGTGCTGTATGTACCACAGGGAACAGTCCTGCACTGGCAGAGAAATGAACTAGATGATTTAAGAGGGCATTTCTAGCTGTATTGGCTCTGTAGTGTTAACAGTGATAAAGTGTAAAATTTTCAAAAGCATTGAGGTGACTTAAGAATATAAATCCCATTTTGAAAAGTTACTTAGGTAACTGGCAGTCTATGTCCCAATGGCTTTCAATGGGACTTAGGTGCCTAAGTCTAAATCACTTTTGAAAATGGGACTTAGGCACATTTGAAAATTTCTCCCTCTAAATTAGTAAAGTAAGAAAAACAGGTATTACCGACACCCGAGGAAGTTGTGACTTTTACACTTGCTTTTCTGACCATACACTAAGGGCTTTTTCAGATTAGGAACTGAGTACTTTAAAGTGCTGCATATACCTACAGCAGTTTTCTTCCACCTGTTCTGATTACAATGTTTCTTTTCCCTCAATAGACAACTGAAAACCATGAAGCCATGCAAGAGTTCAAGAGCCAAGGTATCTATTCCACTTTATTTTATGGTGACTCTTTAAAATCTGACTTTCTTTTTTTTTTCATTATTCCTTGTATTCACCCACTGTTGCCAAGACACCCAGTTGCCATAGTGTTTACATCTTCTGCAGAGTCCTTTCATTTTCCACTGCTCTCACCTTATTGGTATCACCCCACTCATTGTACAAGGGCTCTGGTTACTTTCAGAACTGACAAGTGTCTGCAACACCTTTAATTACACCTTCATCTGCACCGCGTGAATGGTGTTCCCTACAGGAAAGCAATAACTAATAATTACAATATGCTGTCTCAGCAACCTAAGGGCTTCAGTGTTGTGGGCAGGGTTAAAGTGAAGTGGGTTCCCTTCCAAAATTTGAACAGTGTTCTAAGGACTTTTTCTTCAGAGATTAGGAGGGGTCTGGAGACACAAATTTCTTACCTGTTGGGCCAGCCCTGTTATATAACTATCCGCTATATAATTAGTGGATAATTTTAATATTTTTGCAGGTCCTGACAGACAGCTCTGCTAGAGGAGGAGTGCTAATATGCCTCACCTTCATCATGTCACAGCATCAGTTAGTTTCCTAAGGTTTTTCCTATGCCCTGTCTTTATTAAGCCCTGATCCCACAATTGGATCTGTGGGGGTGGACCTTGTGCCCATGTGGAGTCCATTGACTCCAATGAGACTCCACACAGGCATTACGTTCTGCCCACACAGTTCCATGTATAGGACTGGGGCCTTAGCTGCTACATAGATTTCTGGTGGTTAGAAGAAGCAGCACAGAGACAAACAATAGGAAAAGCCACCAAGATTTTAATAATCCTGATGAATTGTCTATTGTCAAGTGCCATGCAGAAGTATTGGAGCCACTTACTCTTTTTCTTGTCTGAGTTGGAGGAATGGGCCCAAACTTCCATAAATCCATTTAAGCAATTAATGTTATCCTGATACTACTTTTTCATTTTGTGGATCGCTCCCTCAGAAAGAGATTCTGTAGCAGAATCAGTTCCTATTCCAAAATCTTTCCCACACATTCTTTTTGTGAATTCTGGTAGCCCATGGGCCACAGTTGAGAACTACAGACCCAAGTCACGGAAGTTAGGTGAGCCCTGAAAGATGTGGGGGAGAGTTGTGGTGGTAAACCAGCTAAACATACATAGTGCCACTGACCTTTGTCCTTTTTGAAGGTTCTACAGTAGAGTCCCTTTGCGACGATGTTGTGTCTGTCCTCACTGTGCTCTGTGAGAAGCTTCAGGCTGTCATAAAGTAAGTGGGTTATTTAGCTATAATTCATATTTGTTGCTGCAGATTTTCTTGTGGAACATCACTTATAAATGACCGTACTGTCCTCATTCTAGGATAACAAGGCAAACAATTCTTGCACTAAGTTACTTGTCAGAGGTACCTTGCCCTCTGTTGGATTGATCATGTTGTATTAATTTAGCCCACAATTGTGGTGAAAAATTGATTTATCACCCACATACACAGTTTCGCTTTAAAGAAACTCCAGTAAGTGATAGCAACCCTTATTGTAAATAGATTCTGTATAGTAACAACACCTTTCAGAAAAATGCTTGCTTTTTTGCTATGCTGTGCATAATGAACACATCCACAGAAGAGAGAGGGAGAAAGACAACAAATAGTATAGCAAGACTAAAATACAATGATCTCTTGGAAGGTATTACTGGTATTCCCTAACCTAAATATTGGGAATATAATGACCAGTTTACTCAGATAACGCTAATTATTTGCAAATGGTAAGTTTTCTTGTGAACTACAACCACCATATGTACGATAATATTTCATTAAAATACCATGATGCTATACATTTGAATATTGATCCAGATTCTCAGGTGGTTTTAAAATGCACAGCTTCATTCAAGTCATGAAAGATGATATTCAAGTTTAAATGGTTTATTTATCATCATTATTATAGTATTAGCGTGTTTTTTATAGAAGTCAATGGAGCTTTGCTGATTTGCACAAACTGAGGATCTGGCCCGCTGATTCTTTAATATCTCTAATACTATTTTCCAGATTCCTGAGCATGCCTTAGATGGAACAGAGACTGAATAAACTATCAAAAACATAATAATTACTGATTTACCCTCCCTGTGACCTTTCAATGAAAGAATTCAAAGCAGATCACCAAGGCGATCATTATTATCCCTATTTTACACAGGGGGAAATTGAAGCATACAGAGAAGGGACTTGCCCAAGATCACACAGTGAGTCAGTGCCATAAGGCCAGATTCTGTGAATTACACGTGGCCATGCCTTGAGAGTGGCACAGAGCCATACAGCTCTGGAAACACAGGCCCTTCTGGAGCTGTCCAGCACTCCGGAGAAGTGCACACGCTGCACCATTTCTTGAGGACTAAATGTAGCCAGTTTTCATTTTTAATGCATTATGAATTAACTGAAAAGGTTTCTGGATGTGATCCTACAATTCTTATTCTCATGAGTAGTCCTGGCTTGTGCAAGTAAATCCATAGATACTAGTGGGACTGTGTAGGTGAGTATCGACTACCTACAGGAGTCAGGTTTGCAGGATCAGGCTTTTCATTTGCAATTTGTTGCTCTCCATTTCCTAATATTAACCTTACTTAAGAACAGGGTAGACTGTGGATTTATTCAAAAAATGTCATTTCGAAATTCCTTTGACTTCAGTGGGATCCACACAGATGCAAGGCTCTGTCAGTCCTGTAGTTGCTTACAAAATCAGAACCTAAGGCCCTTATCCTGCAAAGACTTCCTTATGTGCTGAACTTTACACACTGTGAATAATCCCATTGCGAGAGGGAGCATTGCAGTTGACTTCAGTGGAGTTAGGATTTCACCCACAATATATAAAGTTAAACCCATGTATAATTCTTTGCGAGATTGGGGCTAAGAATGGAAACCTGCACATGGGTAACATGGTTCCTGTAGTAACCAATTTATGTATCCAAACATGCAAAATTCCAGAGTTTCACATGTTTCAGTACCATTATATGAATAGTTTGTAGAAAGCAACGTTTTGTGGCCTCAGAATAGCCTACAATCTAATTGAAGTACTCTGAAATAAGTTGAATGAAAAAATCCTAGCTGTGGTATTTTAAGCCAAGCCCTGCTAACATTCTACTAATTAATCAACCAGGAAAAAAACCCAAACTGTGAGAAAATAAGTTAGTCAAAATGAAAAAGTAGCATAAAAGCAATATGGGGCAATTATTTCAGAGGTATAAATATGACAAACTAAAATCTTGGTGAAAATTTGAGAGACATTTGGAGGGAAAAAAGTTATTTTTAATTAACAACACCGCCTCCATATCATTAAAACTAAGCTCTCTCTTGCTACTACTCTTCTGCTTGGTTACAAAAGACTATGGCTTCAGTGAAAAGGGAAAAGGAGCTGTTAGAAGCTGTTTTACATGGTACAAAATTAAAGCACAAATTGGAATGGACAAGTTTGTTAATGAGCAAAGAGGCATCGATCAGTGTGAGCAGTAGGAAGCGCACACAAAATTTCCCTGGATGTTCTGGAAATCATTTGGAGAGGGGGGGCTACATGCACATTTAGGGGGCAATAATTTAGGTGTTCAAAATTGTGTGCACAAAAATAATGATGTTTTCAGTTGTCCTAGGCACTTCACCCTCTGCAACAAACTGGAGTTTTGTCTGTGTGCTAACTATTTTTTTAATGTCATCTGATAGGCAGTGCCCCCAAAAATATAACCATTTCAAATCACTGGGGATGTAATACCAAAACTAAACTACTTAACAGGAGCTCTCCTAAAAACTGTTGACTTGAAAATGAATAAAGGAAAGAAAGATCCTTTGTGAAGTTTATCTGCAATCCCAACTCCCCAGGAGACTGCACTGAATTAGAACAGATTTTGTACTCATCTACAATATGCCTTAAAGAGATTAATAGAACCTAAAAATATGGTCAGTGAACCATGATTTACTGCAGTAATATATCCAGGTAGCACAGAAGCACTAACTGGTAATTCTGCACCTATTTTCTTAATTGGGTCTTTTAATTAACAAAGAAACATAATGAAGGATTCTAATTAGTTCTGGAGGAAAACAAATGTAGCTGGCTTGTTAAAAAACTTACTGAAGTAATTATGTGGGAGGCTGGGAGTAGAAAGCTGTTCTTCCTTTCAGCCAATGATTGTTTCTCCTCAGAAACAACCTGTCAGAGAGATTCACCCTGTGCAGCCTTTGGGTCACAGAGGCAAGGCTTTGGGTTATTAAACTGTCTGCTCTACTCTCCTAGCCTGATGATTACTTTAACACACTGTTCTTAATTTCAAGCATATTGGTATTTGCTTCTGAGGGAGGTAAGGCATGGGTGATGAAAGAGGGGTTAAGGGAGATGAATTCTGGTCATTATGGTTCCCAGGGCCCTGAAACAATGAAACCTGCTCTAGCAGGGTTATTAGCAGATGGGCAGCACTGAGGTATACAGCAATATAGGCTATTTGCCTACTGCAGATCAACTTCATCCTGGTGGAGAGATGTTTTTGTAGTAAATAGACCTTGGAAAGAATTCAGAGGCAAGGGTATCTGTGGATCAAAAATCCATGAATGCCATATAAGTAACATGTTCCGTGTGTGTGTGTGTGTGTGTGTGTGTGTGTATATATATATATATGTGTGTATATATATATATTGGATTTATGAGACTCTCATATGAAGTAGTGCGGGAATGGCCCATTTCTTATATGCCACTCCATATCTTTATGAAACACATGCAAAGAAAGTAGGCCGTCATTTTCAAACCATCCATAATATGGATTTAGGTATCTAGTTTTACACCCTCAAACTTCAAATTGTTGGCCAACAGACATATGAAAGATGTCTTTTCTACTTAGGGATAATTCATTTGGCAAGCCACAGAGAAATATATTCAGCAAAAGAACCAGGAAAAAAGCAAAGATGATGGATCAAGATGAGTCATGTCTCTATAGCTTTGACTACTTTTTGTTGTACCTCAGAAAATATGGTTTCATAGCCTTCACCTTATCAAAAACAATAATCCAAAAGGAATGGAAAGATCCCTCCCTGACTTGCTGAGTGAAAAACAGAATGTTAATCCTAATGGAAAAAAATTATCTTTACATGGTGAAGCAACTTTAAACCTATCTATTGTCTTAACCCTTGCAGTTAATTCTCAAAATATGCATAAGAACATGTTCTGTTTGTGGTGTCTACAGATCCTTCCATATACTTTTCTTGAGACTCATCTTGATATTAAGATTGTAGCTGACTGACCAGGGGTTCTCAAACTTCATTGCATTGCAACCCCCTTCTGACAACAAAAATTACTACAAGACCCCATGAGGGGGGAATGAAGCCTGAGCCCGTATGAGCCTGGGGGGGACGAATGCTGAAGCCAGAGCCCCGCTGCTCAGGGCAGGGGGGCGAGAGCCAAAGCCCAAGGACTTCAGCCATGGGCGGAGTAGGGCCTGTAGCCCATGCCCTGCCACCCAGGGCTGAAGCCTGAGCCCTGCTGCCCAAGACTGAAGCCGAAGCCAGCCCCAGACGGTAGGGTTCAGGCTTTGGCTCTGGGCCCTAGCAAGTCTAATGCCAGCTGTGTTGACCCCATTAAAATGGGGTCGCAACCCACTGACCCACAGTTTGAGAACTTGAGAATTAGACCTCAAAAGTCATATTGACCCCAGAGTCTAGGTTTCCTGATTTTTGCATTCTTTGCCATGATTTCTGTCATCAGAAGAACAGAAAAGGATGACAGCAGAAAGAGAGAGAGGGAGAGAAAGAGGCAGAAAATAAGATATCTGTGTAGTAATAAGAATGTTAGGCAGCTGCTGAGTGTTCTCAGTTTGCATGAAGAGTCTGTAACAACTCTAGTGGGGTTTGAAGAGGTTTCTATTCATTTGTGCAAAAATCCCATCTTCTTCTGTGTTAAGTCAAATTTAGATAATGACATCTGTCTTCTATCTACTTTTTCTTTTCTTTTTTAAGAGGATATTTATTCCTCATTTCTCGTGAAATGGGACGAGCTAATCACCCTGTTGTTTTCTCTACTGCCTGCTTTTACTGACTGTCATTAAGTTCAGAGCAAATGGGGTGATAAAGAGGATCACACATTTGAAATCCATACCATTTTCAGGCAGATGCAAAATAACACTGTGCTATAAATTACAGGATAACATGCAGATGAACTAATACAGTTCTCCAAACAGAATGATGATGATGATAAAGTCTCAAAAATACTTGTTTTAGTCATATTTGAACATTCTTTATTTCTGTTTGTCAGTGAAAATCAGCAACTGCAGCTTCTCTACCTGGAATGTATTCTCTCAATGCTAAATAGTTCCTCTCCCGGCATGCACAACCACAGAGGATTCACTGACCTTATTTGGTGAGTACACGTTTTGCACCTTCCTATGAAGAGAATGGGAGCTTAGATTTCCACTGATTTAATGTTTGGGGGTGGGGGTTCACCTGAGCAAACATAACCCCCTGCACCACCACCACCACCAGATTTGACATTATAGAAGCCATGCCCGGCCCTCACTGGAAAGCTCTTCATTAAAACTTCGTTGGGTAATACAGGTTGCTGAGCACTGGGTCCAGCTATATGAAACCCTATAGTAAATCTCATCATTATTATGGAATCCCAGTTATTTAGGCCTTGAAAGGAGTTCATTGATCACTTTATGTATCTTTTTGCAACAGTGCAGGACTGAACTCTGCACTCAACATACACATTTTATTTAAATTCAACCAGAAGTGACTGGGCTCAGGAGTGGTACTTATGTAATAGGGAATAATCATTTGCATCACTACCTGAGTTACTGGCCTGTGCTACACAGGCCAGTGAGATTAGACGATCCTAATTGTCCCTTCTGGCTTAAAAATCTGAGTCTAGTATATTCTTGAAGGCTCTGGTGATGATGATACCGCCAAGACCCATTTTATCAAGTTATTCCCCTGTCTAATTCATCTTACTACAAGGTCCCCTTTTTTTCATTTTCAAGCCATTAACTATTTTACTATATGGTGTACCACCTGCTCAAATCACCTGAATGAATCCTTACCCAACTTTCTGACTGTGGCAACGCCTGTCTATAGTGCTTAGATGCCTGGCTCCCAAGAATGGTGTTAGAAATAAGGGAAAAGTGTAATTAACATAAAGTCTACCAAAGTCTGCAAAGAGCAGCAATGTCCAGCCTGTGGCCTGTGACGCTCTAAATCTCCCTTGAGGGTGGCTGTGTTGAGATGCAAATGTGCATGTGATTGTGAATTGAAAATGTGTTCCATGAGCTACTGCACCCTGTGATTTTTAAATAGAAGTGTTTGAATCAGGCCCACCTCTCTGGGGAAAAGGTAGGAGCATGGCTTTTCCAGCTCCCTTCCACCACTTCCCCTGCAGTCCAGACACAGGTCTGGCAAGAGCCGGGGAAGCTCTAAGTAGCAGCTGTCACTTCCCCAATGCAGATGTTTAGCGGCTACTCTGAGGACCACCTACTGCATCACAGGGTTGGAAGGACAGAGTACTTCTGGCTACTCCATTGCCTGCTCACTTGAGTGTTGGAGCCCTGCCACGAGCAGGGTGGGAGCTTTACTGGTGTTGTACAAGCCTAGGAGAGCGCTTAGCGTGCGCATGCACACACACAAACACAACCACCACAGCGCAGGAGAGGGGAAAAGGAGCTGAGAACCAACAACCGGTTACAGCTTCCTGATTCTCTGCCCCAGTCCTGTCACAGGTTAAAGCAGGCTGACGACTACTCTAACTTGTCCCAGCTGCTGTATGGTCCGTCAGGGACCATGTGCCAGCTGGGAATAGCCAGAGTACAGTTCATTCCAGCCACCTTCACTCTGCACCCCTGACATGCCCTCTGTGCCAGACGATGAAGAGAGAGAGGCATAGGAGTCAGCCGTGCTAGCTTTTTGCCCATAGGGGACTTTCTCATCCTAGGGGAATCCCCAGCAGGGAGCTTGCTGGTGGTTTCTGCTCCTTTATGCTACTCCTTTTGGCCCTCAGGCTGAAAAGATTAGACAGCAAGAGTATAGAGCTTCTTTTAGATGAACACCGTCAGCTAGAGAAAGAAGACAGTAGAGGGTAGATAATCCTCCCCATTACAGATATGGACAGTAGTTATGCGCACCTGGTACAGAGGGCTAGCAGGGAGCACTTTTAATACAATGGCTGTGATGGATTGCAAGGAAGTGAGTCGTTACAGAGAGAGGTTGGGATGGGAATAGCCAGTGTGTCTCGGAAAATATACCGTAGCTGGTGCTGAGAAGTATTTTACATGCTTATGGTGCAATGTGGCACCTAATTACATCAAGTGGCCCTCAAATAGGCCCTTCCCATTGTGTGCTGTATCTATATTGTGTAATAGGTGTGGATCAGAGATTTAAGAGAGTAGCACAAATATGTTGCTTGAAGCTATTAATTCTGTGTGCATATTTTAAAAAGTCATTAGAAGGGATTTGAATGGCAATGGGATACATACAGGTGCTTTCGCTCTGTGTCACTAGTTTGAATCTAGCCTTGGCTGGTCCTGGGCTAAAAGTTTTTACCAAGTTGTTACAATCCTGGATGACAGGTTTCAGAGTAGCAGCCATGTTAGTTTGTATCCGCAAAAAGAACAGGAGTACTTGTGGCACCTTAGCGACTAACAAATTTATTTGAGCATAAGCTTTCGTGGGCTACAGCCCACTTCTTCGGATGCATGCAGTGGAAAATACAGTAGGAACACACACACACACACACATGAAACAATGGGTGTTACCGTACACACTATAACGAGAGTGATCAGTTAAGGTGAGCTATTACCAGCAGGAGAGAAAAAAAAACTTTTTGTAGTGGTAATCAAAATGGCCCATTTCCAGCAGTTGACAAGAAGATGTGAGGAACTGTAGGGGGGTAAAATAAACATGGGGAAATAGTTTTACTTTGTGTAATGGCCCATCCACTCCCAGTCTTTATTCAAGCCTAATTTAATGGTGTCCAATTTGCAAATTAATTCCAATTCAGCAGTCTCTCATTGGAGTCTGTTTTTGAAGTTTTTTTGTTGTAATATTTCGACTTTTAGGTCTGTAATTGAGTGACCAGGGAGATTGAAGTGTTCTCCTACTGGTTTTTGAATCCCATGTGCTCTTAGGGTGGCTGGGGCTGGATAGAGGCTCTCTCTCTCTTGTAACCAAATAATGGATCACCTGATGCAGGATTTGAAGCCACAGAGGAGAGTCACCTGATGGAGGGGGACTAGAATTTTGTCAAAGAAAGGCTCTTTTAACAGCTGTTTCGGGGCGGGGGGGGGAGATCAGACCCTGAGAGGACTGACCAAAACCCAAAGGGCTCAGAATGGTGAGGACGCAGCGGGTTTCGCATGCAGGTTTTGTCTGTGAGTAAGGTGTGATGGGTTTCAAAACTCCTTTACAAAGTCTGTATGTCCCTGGCTTTCATTGTCACATGGTCCCTCAAAAAATAACAAGACCTGCACGCAAAACAGCTCCAGAGATACAGGAGAGTTGAGGTGTAGGGGTTGAAAAGGCTATTGTAAAGCTGTGTCTGGGAGATTTTTTTTTTCCTATTTCCACTTGTTCCTTTTTCTCTTTCCCCAGGAAGCAATTGTGTCCAGCCCTTGTAGTAATCCTGGGAAATCCAATCCATGACAAAACAATCACCTCTGCCCACAGTAGCATCTGTCTCGAGGCCGATTCGCCCTCCTCAGGGGTCGCTGATCATGGCCGAGGGTCAGGTTGCTCCTCCACAGCACCTGCCCTTAGTGGCCCCGTTGCTCGGACCATATATTACATTGCAGCGGAACTGGTTCGACTGGTGGGGTCAGTAGAATCCATGAAACCTGTGCTCCAGTCACTCTATCATCGTATGCTGCTGTATCCCCCACCCCAGCACCGAGTGGAAGCCATCAAGATCATGAAAGAGGTAGGAAAATTGAGACATGAATTCAAACAAAATGCAATGGAAGTAAACGCTTGCTAATTGTAAATTATAGTGAGTGTGTGTGTGTAGAAGTCCAGTATATGGGATAGCCATATGGATATCAAAATAATCCCTTCTGATCCGAGCTGTTACAGTCAAGGCTACACTGCTAAATGTATTTAGTGTGACCAACACTTAATACTCCTTTCTGATCATATTTGCCTCAATCATACCAGCTGCCTTGGCAACACTGGAAATATTTGTGCTGTATTACTCTGTTGGGAGCAGGTCTTGTGCCTGAGGCATAACAGTCCTGATGGGTGATAGAAAGTAAAATTATTCTGTTTCCAAGTTCTCTGGCATCTTTTCCCACTTTCTCCTCTTGCTAAAAGGAGGCAGTCAGCCTGGCACTGTAATGTTCAGAAAGCTAAGATGGATATATCTTTTGATTCAGTGCCAGGTTTTTGAGGTGCAGTAGGATAGCTACAAGGTAGCTGTCAGCTTCTTGAGCAGCCATGCCAGCTCCAGTCATTTCTCTAACTGTTCAGGGAAGTTTCTCAGTACCAGAGACACTAGAACAGGAACATAAGAATGGCCATTCTGGGTAAGACCAATGGTCCATCTAGCCGAGTGCTCTCCCCTTGTGGGTACCAGGACTTGCTGCTCCAAGAAGCAATCATTTACAGAGTCTAGAAATTTTATCTCTGCATCATGTCCTGTGAGGTGACATGTATCCAGTCAATATGAGGATGGTTGAAATCCCCCATTATTATTGCGTTTTCTATTTTTGTATCCTCTCTCATCTCCTGGAGCATTTTCACCATATTGGTCAGGTAGTCAGTAGTATATTTCTACTGCTATATCCTTATTATTCAATCATGGAAATACTATCCATAGAGATTGTATGGTACAGTTTGATTCATTTAAGATTTTTACTATATTTGATTCTATGCTTTCTTTCACATATATTGCCACTCGTCAGCCAGCATGACCTACTCTGTCATTCCTATATACTTTGTATCGTGGTATTATCATTGTTCCACCAAGGTTTTGTGATCCTCATTAAATACCAAGCACTTAAGTTCACCCATCTTACTATTTAGACTTCTAGCATTTGTATACAAGCACTTATAAAATTTGTCACTATTTAGCTGCCATTATGTGATGTAACTGAATGGGACTCTTTTTTTCATTTGACTGTTCTCTTCAGTTCCTACCTCTACTTTATCAACTTCTATCCTCTTCTCTTTTCTAGAGAATCCCCATTAATAGGTCCTCTCCTAAGGGATGTCTCTATCTGGACCATGCGCTCCTCTGCACCTGGCAGTTTTCTCCAGCCCTTAGCTTAAAAACTCCTCTATGACCTTTTTAATTTTACATGCCATCAGTCTAGGTCCATTTTGGTTTAGGTGGAACCCATCCTTCCTGTATAGACTCCTCCTTTCCCAAAAAGGTTCCCCAGTTCCTAATAAACCTAAACCCCTCCTCCCTCCACCATTTCATCCACGCGTTGAGACCCTGCAGTTCTGCCTGTCTAACTGGCCCTGTGCATGGAACAAGAAACATTTCAGAGACTGCTACCATGGCGGTCCTGGACATCAATCTCTTATCTAGCAGCCTCAATTTGGGCTCTAGGACCTCTCTCCTACCTTTCCCTATGTCATTGGTACCTACATGTACCACGACCAAGGGCTCCTCCCCAACACTGCACATAAGCCTGACTAGATGTCTCAAGAGATCCCCAACCATCTCACCCAGCATGCAATTCACCATGCCCTTCTCCCGATCATCATAAAGCCAGCTACAGTAACTCCTCACTTAAAGTCGTCCCAGTTAACGTTTCGTTGTTATGTTGCTGATCAATTAGAGAACATGCTTGTTTAAAGTTGTGCAATGCTCCCTTATAATGTTGTTTGGCAGCTGCCTGCTTTGTCCACTGCTTGCAGGAAGAGCAGCCCGTTGCAGCTAGCTGGTGGGGGCTTGGAACTAGGGTGGACCGGCAGCCCCCCTATTAGCTCGCTGCTCCCGTAAGTTCCTGTGGGGAAGCCGCCCAGCACGCTATCAAGTATTGGGCAATTGAGCTGTCCCTCCCCCCACTGCCAAGTGCTGTTCCTACCCTCTGCCTTGGAGTCTCCTGCTTCCTGTGTGGGGGGGGGAGAAAGAGGGGTGCTAATGTCAGGATGTCCCCCTCCTGCTCCTTTACCCCATCTCCACAGGGGTGGGGGGGGACACGACGGGGCTCAGGACGGAGAGAGTTTGCTGGCACCAGCAGCTGTCTCAACTTGCTGATCTACTTAAAAAGGCAATGTACTTAGAGTGAGGTCACTGTACTTAAAGGGGCAATGCTCATCTCTCACTCACACACACACAGTGTGTCTCTCTGTCTCTCTCTGCCATGCTGTCTCCCCTCCCTTCCCTCCATTCATGCTGCCTTGTAGCATGTGAGGCTATATTAACAATAATGTGTTAACCCTTGAGGGCTCAGCTGAGTGCTAGTTCATCATTTAGCAGTAAGGCATTCCCTGGGAAATATCCCACCCTCTGACTCCACCACCTCAACTAAGCTTCACAATCATCACTGGTGTGTACACTATTAAATTGTTTAAAACTTATACTGTGCATGCATGCACGCATGCACGCGCACACACACACACACACACACACACACACACAGTCTTTTGTCTGGCGAAAATTTTTTCCCTGGAACCTAACCTCCCCCCATTAATTTTTATGGGGAAATTGGATTCGCTTAACATCGTTTCTCTTAAAGTAGCATATTTCAGGAACATAACTACAAGGTTAAGCGAGGAATTACTGTATCTGTATTTCTAATGAACGAATCCCCCATTACTAGTACCTGTCTCTTCCTAATAACTGGGAGAGCCACCAAGAACCAAAAAACTTCCATGGAGCTCCTTTGAGCTGGTGCCGACTTCATGGAGTACCTTTTGCTGGGATTGTGCTTTACTTTACAGTCTCCTTCACTTGTGGCATAACAACAGACTCAACCTACATTATTGTTAAAAAATATAATGCATTTCACCCGAGGGCACTTTTATAGCTCAAGCCCACAAAAAACAGGTTGTGTAGGAGTGAAGAGTCTCTAAACAGGACATACACAGCCACTAGGTTAGTCTTCACAACTCATTGCCGTTCTGTGGGTTTGCCTTTCTTTGTGATTTAAATAATAACAAAATGTAAACCTCAACCTAAGCTTTTCCTGGGGCTTCAAATTGTTGTTAAGATTTTATAACAGGCCCACCATCCCCAAACACCTCCTTCTGGCCCTTTGCATGGCCCTCTGACCAGGTTCCTTAGAATCCCAAATAATGCCCACTATTGATTAGTAACTCAAATTCTCCATTCAATCATATTCTGCCCCTGTTGGGGGTGGGGAGTCCTCTTCAGTCTCGGTCTCTACACCGAAGGATGACAAACAAAAAGAATACCATTAAAAACTCTCTTGCCCCTGTGGCCTTATGACTTCAGTCTTTCTTCCCGTTCCTCTTGTTCCTTCATTCTGTTCTCGGGACACTGACTCACAGGGCCACCACCCTCGAGTGTTGCTCCTTCCCAGGAACTAATCCATCCCTGTAGCTTTCCCAAATCCCCTTATTTCTGGCTCTAGACAGCTACTCCTTCTTTCCTTGACTACCCTCAACTCCCTGTTTTAACTTCCTCTGTCAGCCTACCACACCCTCTCCAGATGTACCAAATGAGGGCAATCACCTCCCCGGGTGTTCATTAGCTCCCTTTCCTAGGCAGATATTCTTTACCAGCCCTGCCCTGGGCCATTCACCTTGGGTAATGGACCAAATCTCCTTACAGGGCCCAGTCAACCTGTAATTGGGTTCTTCATGCCTGACACCTATATCCCATCCTTTTGTTCCTTCTCCCGAGAGAGGCACACTACCTCCACTTTTATCTCCTGATTAGAGTTAACAAGAGCCACAGAAATTCTTCTGCATTTTTATGCAAGATGCTAGCAGCTAACAACTGGGTGACTCAGCAGATGATCCCCCCAGCCCCATCTTGCCCTCCCTGTGTGGGGTCCTACATCTGTTATACTATCAAAGATGTTTGCTTTATGCTTAATATTTGATTTGTCTCCTATGCAGTTTCTCTGCATTTACTCTTTTGTCTGTACAAAAGTACAAAGTGAAATGCGTTTGTCTTTTGTATTTTTCAGCTTATTTTTAAAGCGTTGTAAAGCATTCTGTATTTGATTCATAGTTCAATGTATGCGGTTTCCCCAGGTCTTCCTCTTTTTTTAAAAAGAAAAGAAAGAAAGTAAGAAATGTAGCCTTAATAAATGAAATAAGATATATTTTCCTTTGATGTGACCTGTCCTTTGGCAGTGTTAGTAGCTCAGCTTCTTCTTGATCCAGATTACTCCATAGAACAAAAACTCATTTATTTAAGCTGCATACTGTTTAGATAACCCTTGGGTAACTTGGGTTTTCTTTTCTTTTAGATACTAGGTAGTCCACGACGGCTCTGTGATTTGGCAGGACCCTGCTCGTCTGAACCAGAATCCAGAAAGAGGTCAATCTCGAAAAGGAAGTCCCATCTGGATCTTCTCAAACTGTATGCTTTATTTCCTTCTTTAGCGTCTTCTCTTTTAGGTGTACACACTTGTTACAGTTAAGTATCTACTGGTAAACCATGCTACCAGGAACGTGCACAAATGAGAACCATGTAAACTTCCTTCCTAGTTAGAAATGCTAGTGAACAGAGCTGTGAAAATGGAGGAGGAATAAAATGTAGTAAAAATTAGTTTCTTAGGACCAGATTTTCAAAGGTGTTTATGTAACTAAACATACAGATAGTCCCACCTAGTGGAATTTTTTAAAACACAAAAGCAGGCTAGGTACCTAACTCCCTTGAAATCCTAAATCTACTTAAATACCTTTGAAAATCTGGCCATTAGGTCCTGACCCTGAAAACAATTATGCACATGCTTAACTTTAAGCATGAGTAGGTCCATTAGATGTTAATGGGGCTGCTCACAAACTTAAAGTTAAGCACATACATAAGCGTTGCAGGATCAGGGCCTACAACAGGCCGTTATAGCTCTGAATACACAAGAAGAGCAGATCTGTTGAGTTAGAAGGTATCATTTTGTATGGGTACTTTTAAAAATAGAGACTCATTTTACATAAATTTAGTTTTAGATCTCGATTTGCCATTTTTAAATCTAAGTTAATTACTTGGGGATATTTAATTTTTTAGTATTTATTTATTTTAAATTCAAGTTCATCTTGAAAGGAACATCAGGGTGGTGATTTGCCATGAAGAGTCTTGTAGGACTATTCCACTGTCTTTTTTTATTTCTGCTTATTATGAAAATTGATGATGTATGTTAGCAATATCAGCTTATTCTAGGAATCTGATTAATCAACTAGAATAAACTTCATTTATTTTTTTTATTTTGAAATTGTAGTATCATGGATGGGATGACTGAAGCTTGCATAAAAGGTGGTATTGAAGCATGTTATGCCTCCGTTTCTTGTGTCTGTGCCCTGCTCGGGGCATTAGATGAACTAAGCCAAGGGAAAGGCCTTAATGAGGAACAGGTCCACCTGCTTCTACGACGCCTGGAAGAATTGAGGGATGGGGCTGAGACAAGCCGAGACTCCATGGAGATCAACGATGCTGACTTTAGGTGGCAGAGGCGCATCCTGTCATCGGAACATACCCCCTGGGAATCGAGAAATGAGAAAAGTCCTGACATTAGCATTAGTGTTACCACAGATACTGGTCAAACCACTTTGGAGGGAGATATGGGGCAGACTACTCCGGAGGATAATCCTGAAGATCAAAAAAAACTCTCTGCAGTCTCCAGCTGGCCAAGACTTTAAAGAGATTGGCTGTAAAGAGCCAGAATCAGAAACAATAGAGCAGCCAGATGTGGTTCAAAGGAGTCACACCATCGTTTATCCAGATATAACTAATTTCCTGTCGGTTGATTGCAGGACACGATCCTATGGATCCAGATATAGTGAAAGTAACTTCAGCGTTGATGAACAAGATCTTTCTAGGACTGAATTTGACTCATGTGATCAATATTCCATGGCAGCAGAGAAAGACTCTGGGAGGTCAGATGTCTCAGACATAGGGTCTGATAACTGTTCCCTGGCTGATGAAGAGCAGACCCCAAGGGACTGTCCAGGTCATAGGTCCTTGCGTACTGCTGCTCTCTCTTTGAAATTATTGAAGAACCAAGAAGCAGACCAGCACAGTGCCCAGCTGTTTGTACAGTCCCTTGAAGCTCTTCTTCCTCGACTTATAACACTCCATAGTGTAGAAGAGGTGGATTCAGCGCTCCAGAATTTTTCCTCGACCTTCTGCTCAGGTTTGAAAGCAGATATTTACTATGCAATCAACATGCAGTATGTTTGAAGAGCGTCTCTTCTAATAAGCAATCATAAAACACTTCTAGAATAGGCAGGCTGATGGTGTACCAAGCATATAAATGTTCTTTTAAACAAACTATTCTTTGGAGTGAAACAAAATTATCTAAAGTTTATTGAAGTCAATGAGAGTCTCTCCATTGATTTTTAATAGACGGGCCCTAAATCAATCAGGAAGAAGATAAATTTTGATGTGGTAGCTAAGTTTCCCATTATATTGTACTGTACATCAAAAGAGCAGAGTGGGGTAAAACAACCTTTTCTGAGTAAGGAGAGCTTTGAATCTCCTATTCGTATAGGGATAAAAGGGGCATGAACCCATCTCCTATTTTAAAACTGATTAAATATAGCTTGCAATGCACCTGCATTAGTATTAACAATTCAAAACCTCACAAAGAAGAAACCAAAAGTCTCACAGTAGTGAATTTTTAAAAGGGTATCTGTTCCTATTACTACTCTATATGTTTCCTAAACAGAATCTCGTGCCACAGCAAGTGCAAAATAGTCAAGGGGCCTGGGCATTAAAAGAGGTCAAATAGTTACACTTAACTTTTCAGGGTGAGGATCTTTGGGAGTTTGATCTTTGCAAATTAAACAAAAGATGACCAAGTGAAAGCTGCTTTTTCTATTGAAAATATACTTTAGGCTAGTGTAAATATTTTCTATTTGTAAAGAGATTTCTTTATCCTGACAATGATCCAACATGCAAACGTTCATTAAAATATATATTTCTCTGTTTCTTAACTGATTTCGCCACAACGACCTTTACCCTTGGTCCTCTCTTTTTCATTCATTCATTCTGTCATTCATTCTGTCACACACACAGACTCAGAAATGATGCATTATATATCCTCAGCCCAAAGAATGCAGGCCAAAGAACCTCACCCAATAACTTCTGCATCAAGCCCGTACTTTCTGTTTGAGCTATAGCATCTCTTTTAGAAAGATATCTAGTCTTGACTTAGACTACAAGTACTGGAGAATCCACCACACCCATAGCTAAGCTATCACGATGGTTAATTATTCTCACTGTTAAAAATTTTCACCTTATTTCTAGTCTGATTTGGCCAAATATTAAAAAAAAAAAAAACAACTCAACAAGTCATAAAAAGCTCCCAGGTATTTTTTACATGGGAAGAAATATCCTGATATTTTCATGGATCCATGGTTGCATATTATCAAGGAAAGTTGTGTCCTTCCAACACCTGTGTGCGAGTCTGAGTTGATGAGTCAGTGTTTAAAAGATCTGTTGCTGTTTTCTTTGTGAAGGTCACAAATGGAAAGCTTAGCTTCCATAAAGAACCCAGTTACTAAGCAAAAGATCTGACTGACAGCTACAGTAGATACAGTTAAATCCATTAAGTGTGGATGCTAACAAGCTAACTTGTGAATTTTCAGTAAATCTGTGTTTCAACAGAGAACCTCCATCCTACCTGCTTTGTTCCATTTATATTTTTTATTATGCACTGGGACAATGCAGTACAGTATTATTTATAATAGTGTCTTTCATACCAGCTATGTCCCAAAATACTTATACAATTATAGAATTGAAAAACAGCTGAGCGCATGAATTTATGAGGTATAGAGAAGGGAGTACAGATGTGTTTTCAGATGAGATTTGAAAAAAAAAAAAAGATGTGAAGTCAGCCAGGTAGAGAGATACAGGAAAGGTAAGAGTCAGAAATATGTCATTGGGAAATCTTATGATTACAATTTTAATCTTTTTTTACCCCAGAAAAATCTTCTCCTATTTGTTGCTGGATCAAAACAGTGACAACGAAAACTAATAGCACTAAGTTGGGTGCTTGTTTATACAGTATAATTTAATACTTCATTACCAAAAAGCTCTCGGCACACAATCTTGATTTAAACAAAATATTAAATCTGTGTGGTATGACTTCTGTGACCTGTCTACACAAATGAACTGTTGTCCACATCCAGACAATGAGTTAGTTTGTTATGGGTGCAGCTTTTTATAATTAAAATTAGTAACCAATATTCCTTAAACGCAGACACAACTATTTTCAGAACAGTACCAGGGAGTTAATTCTAACAAACCAGACATCATTGTTTGGATAATCAAGCAAGACAGTTAGCACAGTTTATCAGTCATCTATCATATTCTGTTAGTGGCAGGGTTTTAAGGTGTTTATGCCTTGCAGATAGTTCATGAATGCAGGCCTACACATTAGCTTCTAGTTTCCTTTTTGAGCCTGAGCATCTGCTCATCCATTAAATGTACTTGAGGGAACTGCCACTTTCCCATATTTTAGAGGCATTGGTAACTCAGGGGGTCAGATTTTCAAACACTTTGGGCACACAAATGCATACTAATTTGTATGCATGCTTAGCCATTTTCTTTTGCAAATTATTGCAGTAATTGTGCACATTGGTTTGGTGTGCAATTTTGTATGCATTTTATATGCAAAATTTTGTGCCTAAGATAATAGTCCATATTTTCTTTAAAATACTTCTTGAATGCCTTATTCTTTCATGCATTTGATGTATCTTTTATAAGCTGACCTTAAATTGCAAATAGATATATTGTAGCTGCAAGTTTCATTATCATGGTCTCAATCCACCAAAGCACTTAGAGACACGCTTAACTTTAAACACATGGGTAGTTCCATTGCAATCACTGGGACTACTCATAGACTTAAAGTTAAAAACATGGTGAAGTGTTTTGCCAACCTGGGGCCTATTACAAGACAAGATAAAGATTTCTGCCAGGTGTGACCACAGGAATATCAAACATTCTCCCCCTCACAAGTAATGTGGAAATCTTTGTGGACACAATACGTGTCCAGTCCCATCACTCCTTTTCCACACACACCATTCCCTTAGACAGTTATTCATATTTTAGACCCACCCGTGAACAATTATTCACTTTCTAAATCCGCCCTCAAACAGTTATTCACCTTATCCACGCCCCCAAAGTGACGTCAATGGAAAGTCCAAGGAGGCAGCAGCACAGAACTTTCAAACCCTCACGAGGCAAGAAAATCATTATTTTTTTTCTGTGTGTGGTTTTTTTTTTAATGTTATGGTTTATTGTATTTTTTTTTATCTTGTCTAAGAACAGGCATGATCTTTATGGTGGGAGGAGTATACTCGCAATAAACCACTGGGTAGTTATCAAATGACTCCGCTTTGCTGAAACATATAACCAACCTCAGAAGCGGTTTCTTGCTTCATATCAAATACTCCTCTAGGATGATCATTATCCCTTAATCAATCAATTAATATTCTATAAGTGGAGTTTAACAACAGAAGTGAAGGCCCTAAAATACTGTGGCCATCTATAGTTTAAAATCAAAAACAAGGATTCAGATAAATATTCCAGTTACTTGACTTCTGTTTTCCTACCAATAAGTCAACTAATTAACCCTGAAGAACATGTATAGTTCTGTCTAATATCTGCCTGAGAAGGAGGGATCATGCCATTATGAAAATGGTCAGACAACATAGTTACATATAAATACGTAACGCACCTGATTTTCAGAGGTACTGAGCAGTCACAGCTTCTGTTGAAGTCAAGTGGAGTTGGGAGTGTTTTGCACATCTGAAAAGCAGCTGTTTATGCTACTTACATGAGCTGTCCAGCATTTGCTGACAATTTGAGGTGTGCCAAGTTCCAGCCACGTTAGCACTAAATATTTCTCCCTGTAATTCTAATTTTAGGTTAAAGAGTGGATGATGTTACGAGGCTTGATCCTGCAAGGCGCTGAGCATTTTGCTCCTGATTTTACAGAGCATTTAACATGTGCTTAACGTTAAACATACCAGTTGGCCTTTTGAAGTCTTGGACTAGTCATATGGTTAAAGTTAAGTGCTTGTTTAAGGACTTTGCTGGACTAGAATCAGAGTATTCAGCACCATTCAGGATCAAACTCAAGATAGCAATGGGGGAAAATATTGATTATATTAATGTTCACGATAGACACATATAATATATATTCATTACTACTGAAAGGCCTGTGTTTTACTAGAATTAGGTTACGATTGTGACAGAGCAAAATCTATTTGAAGTGTGAGGGCTCACTCTGCCTTTTCATTAGATATGATGTTCTCACCAGGATTTGAGGGGAACCCCAATTTCAGCTTCCAGACTCTGATGAATGCAGACAGTATCTACATGGTCTCGCACTATACCCTTCTGCTCAATCTGAAGTTATCCAACTCTGACTACTACAGGAAGAAACCTTCCCAAGCACCGGTGTTGCAGGTGAGTGAGGAATATAGAACAAACCATGGTGAGAAGTAACAATTTCTGTGGGTGACTGATGATGCAGTATTTATTTTATTTGGAGCAGCTGAAATATGTTCATTTCCTATCAACCATTTGAGAGTAGGCTGAGAAACTAACCTGATACTTTCAAATAATGAAGCTACTATAAGCTATTCACTAAATTTGACCTAAATTTGAAAATCATTTTTGTTACACACACCCGAAATGCATTTTTTTGATGAATAAACTATTGGCCAAAATAAATTCACCTAGCTCTAGTTGACATCATTTGGGGCAGGAGGGGGGAAACCGTCCTTACCAGTAATATCAAAGAGTATTTCGATTCCAGTGATTATCAAAACTAATCCTTGAACATTATTAACATTTCCCATATGTTTTTATCAGTTATAATAATTCAGTCCTTACAAAATTTCCATTGAAGTCTCTAGGGGGTGGACCCCTTGCACCAGGCCTGAACTTGGCCTTGTGTGTCACTGGGAGTTTGGCCTGAGTAAGGACTTCAGGAATGGGCCCTGTCTCATTAAGGGCTTAGTTGCTACTGCAGAGCCTATGGAGAGCAGCAGGTGTCATCACATCTCCCTGCACTCGGGTCCTACTCAACAGGCTGATGTTGAGGGTATTGGACCATGGCCTGCCTGCCTCCCACGCCCTTTTTGGGTCTTGTACAGCCCGGGAGAAGTATTGAAGGACCTGTCCCACCAGTTCCCTCACCACAGGAACTGTAATTGTGCCTGTCTCCTACATGAGCTGCCATAAAGAGAGTGAAAAGCTCCTTGCACCATCTCACTTGCCGTTGTCCAGGTGTGTATGGGCCAGGCACAATCTAGTCCTAGGGCAGTTCTTACTCTTACAGAAGCTCCATACCCCCATCCTTTTCCTCCTCATTTCTTCTGCAGTCTGATGCACTCAGAGAGGAGTAGTGGATCTGCTGTCTGAGGCTTACATTCTGGTGACTGACTGTCGTATTACATTTGGATTTGTATTGTTCTCTGCAGAAGGAGTTTATGAAGCAGGTTCAGGCCAGTGGAGTATTGATGGTGTTCTCTCAGGCATGGGTTGAGGAGCTCTACCATCAGGTACTGGAAAGGAACATCCTGGGAGAGGCTGGTTACTGGGGAAGCCCTGAGGAGCACCGTCTTCCGCTCATCACCATGTTGACCGGTCAGTATTATGTTACCATGGCCATATGAACACAGTATTATGCTCATAACAGTACAGATTAACTTCTAAATGCATTCTGCAGATTCCTAAAATATTAAATACTTGAACATTAGACTTCATTCAGTTACCTGTAGATCAACATGCCATAGGGCTAAAATATGGTGCTGGCTAAAATGCCAGTGGAGAAGAAATTGGATTCAGTTATGGCACATATCTGGTTGTTTAATCTGGATCAGACACTCTGTATTGAAATCCTGGATCAAATTAAAAAATACCTGATAGTACCTTGATTCCCTATGGCCCATGTGACCAAAAACTGAATAGACTCTGAAAGGATTCGTTTTGTTTTGTTTTGTTTGTGTTTATGGCAGTGCTGCAAGCCCCAATGCAAAGTCATGAACATTGGAAAACCTAATTCCAACGATACATTCAAAATGATGGGGTCTAAATTAGCTATGACCACTCAAGAAGGTGATCTTGTAGTCATTGTGGATGGTTCTCTGAAAACATCTGCTCAATGTACAATGGCAGTCAAAAAAGCTAACAGAATGTTAGGAACCATTCAGAAAGGGATAGATAACAAGACAGTAAATATCATAATGTCACTATATAAATCCATGGTACGCCCACACCTTGAATACTGTGTCCAGTTCTGATCGCCCATCTCAAAAAAGATATCTTAGAATTGGAAAAGGTATAGAGAAGGGCAACAAAAATGATTAAGGGTATAGAATAGTTTCCATATTAATAGAGATTAAAAAGACGGCGACAGCTCATCTTGGAGAAGAGACAACTAAGGGAGGATATGATAGAGGTCTATAAAATTATGAATAGTGTGGAGAGAGTGAATAAGGAAGTGTTGTTTACCCCTTTGCAGAACACAAGAACAGGTGTTACCCAATGAAATAAATGGGCAGCAGGTTTAAAACAAACAAAAGGAAGTACTACACTTCACACAATGCACAGTCAACTTGCGAAACTCATTGCCAGGGGATGTTGTGAAGTCCAAAACTATAACTGAGTTAAAAAAAATTAGATAAGTTCATGGAGCATAAGTCCATCAAAGGCTATTAGCCAAGATGGCTAAGCCTCTGACTGCCAGATGCTGGGACTGGACGACAGGTGATGGATCACTCAATAATTTCCTTGTTCAGTTCATTCCCCCTGAAGCATCTGGCACTGGTCTCTGTTGGAAAACAGGATACTGGACTAGATGGACCATTGGTCTGACCCAGTATGGCCCATTTTATGTTTCTAATCAGAATCAGGGCTCAATTGTGCTAGGCAATGTAGAAACATGCTGTATAGGAATGTTCACTAACTGATTTGAATGATCAGAGCATGTTGAAAGTAGCTCTGTAGCTTTGTCAGAGACATTATAGGGACAGATCCTCAGCTGGTGTAACTGAGCTTGAGGGATTGTTTCTGGTAGATGCTGAAATGATCCTCTTTTGATATCTTGGAATCAATAACCTACTGCTGCTCCAACAATCTGTCAGCAAAAATATAAATCTAGGATTTGTGTCCAGAACATAAAGAACATGCCCTAGTGGACCAAGCACTGGACTGTAGGAGACATGGGTTCTACTCTTGGCTCTGCCGTTGACCTGCTGGGTGACCTTGAACAAGTCACGTCCCTCCTGGTGCCTCAGTTTCCCCACCAGTAAAAACAGGGGCAACAACACTGACCGCCTTTGTAAAGCACTATATAAGATCTAACTGTTGCTGCTGTTATTGCTGCTCCTTGGCAGTTCTGGCCCAAAAAAACTTCCTTCTCCATTCATCAATTTTATTAATAACTGATTGAAGTCAATGGAGCTATTTCAATTTACACCAGAGAAGATGTGTTCCCGTGTTCTATAGAGTTTGTCTTCTACAGAATTCAACGGCATTTGCCTGCATAGTAGCAAGCTGCCATTATTGTTCAAAAAATGTATAGTTTTGGAAAGAAGCCAAAGGGGCTTTTAAAACTTGACGAGCACATGTAGGTAAATACTGATGAATGGGAAAGGAAGCTGTGTAACTGCCTAGAAACAGTGTGGTTCAACGCACCAAACTCTTTTGTCACAGCAGATCTCTCAGGGGGAATCTTTTGAAAAGAGCATTCCATGTTCTTTATGTTCTGGGCACACATCCTAGATTTGTATTTTCACAGGCAGATTTTTGGAGCAGCAGTAGGTCACTGGTTTCATGATATCACAGCAATGTAATGTCAGTGTACCCAGGGCTCTGTACAAGCATAAATGCTGGGAGTCTGAGCCTGCAATTTTTTCACTGATTGAACTCCCATTGACTTAGATTGATACTATGCCAGGGATCTGCTGAAATGCTACTGCTGAGACATAACTCTGCTAAGAAGCTAAAAGACCAGGACTCCTCTGACAAACACTTCAGTGCTCCCTTTAATTTCCCTAGAAAGAAAATTTAGGATGAATATTGTGAAGGAGGTGGGGATGCCTGTAATATTGTATCAGTATTCTACATTCTGTTTCAGTGTTATGTGCAATCTGAGTACACGGGGCTCATACATGTAGGGGTTTCTTGTATTAAGGAACAATAACTTCAGGTAGCCCCATTTACTGGTACATAAAGGACAGGTGTCATTCATTCTAAGGTTTTACCTCCAACAACGCTGACTTCAGTCATCCAGCTTGTAATAATGGGGGAAGGGCTGGAACATAAAACTTTGGGATGGATAAAAAGGCAGCCCCCAAAGGCAGAGACTGCTGGGGACCAGACTGAAACCCAATCCTAAAGTTTGGAGTGTCTGGGCTAAACTACTAGCCCTACCTAAGCCTATAGGTAAGATAGATATGCATGTACATCTTTTGTTGTGTTAAAAACCCTTTTCTCTGGTTCTGTTTTGTTCCTACTGTTAACATTAAACAATACTTTGTTTTGAAAAGGCTGTTTTGGGTCACTGTGTTACCCACTGGTCCCAGCTCCCAAAGGGAAGGCTTGTAGTACCCAAATCCAGATGGGCCTGCACCCCAAGCACCCACTTAGAGAGGCTAGCAGAGTCAAAGATGTAGCTTACCCTGAACTGTGACTAACACCAGGAGAAAATTTCCTATCAGTGAGGTCTACTGGACTATGGACCAAGGAAAGTGATGGATGCCCTTCTCTTTGACTCATTTAAAATTGCACTGAAGAGAACACTCAGGGATGTAATTCTTATTTACCCGAAGGCCCTTTTGCACCCTCATTAAGGTCCCTTCACACTGCCAGAGACATATAACTGAGAATCAGACCCTTACAAATATACTATCAGAAATTCTGGAATTCTCTTAGTGCAGTGGTTCAATATGAAATGTTCTTCTGACCCCATATATGTGTGTGTGTTTATTGTCTGGCAGACATTGATGGCTTGGGGAGCAGTGCTATAGGTGGGCAGCTGATGGCATCTGCATCAACACAATCTCCTCTCACCCAGAACCGGAAGACTGATGATTCTGTTGTGGCAGGTAGTGAGTCTGTATTGTGTACGTGTATGTGTCCACCATTAGTAGGCGTATAATATACAGTAGGACCCCATGGAATTTATTCAAGTGTGCAAAGGCTTCAGGCAAACGGGGGACTAAGCCCAGTGAAGTTATACCATGGATTAATTTAACCTAATGTGCATAAGTTTTGTAATCACAGCTGGTGCTGCAGCAGGCTTTAAATAGTTTAACTGTGTTTTCATATAAAGTAAAACACATTCAAGAACAAAAGATCAAACATTTGGAATGTAAAGTGGCCTAAGTCAATAAAGCCTATGCACTAGTCAAAAGATCAGATGATCCAGCAAGTAGAGAAGGAACGGGGCCTGATTCCCCTAATGACAAAGCAGCAGCTATTTCACTTTCCAGGAAAATGATGGATGCATTCCTTGCTCCAGGTGTTGCTTTTGCCCGATACCTTCTGATCGGTTGCTGGAAGAATTTGATTGATACCTTATCCACACCTTTGACTGGTCGAATGGCAGGAAGCTCCAAAGGGTTAGCATTCATCCTGGGAGCTGAAGGAGTCAAGGAGCAGAACCAGAAGGAGAAAGATTCCATTTGTATGAGCCTGGATGGACTGAGGAAGGCAGCCCGGCTGAGCTGTGCTCTAGGTATCCAGTATGGACTGAATTCCTAGATGGATTCATGTAATTGGATGGACCAGTGCATAGTAAATGTTCTTGGGGAGGGGGGGGGGAATTTGGGGAAGAGGGAAGCAAACTGGGAAGCATGGTAAAGCTGGTGTAGAAGCCCTGTTCGTGATGCTGTCTGATGGTAAGATTGCATCAATCCAAAATGAAAATGCTGATTAGACAATAACTGTTGTGCCTCTTTGTAGGGGTTGCTGCTAATTGTGCATCTGCCCTTGCCCAAATGGCTGCTGCCTCCTGTGTTCAAGAAGAGAAGGAGGAAAGAGACGCCCAAGAGCCCAGTGATGCTATAACTCAAGGTAGCTACTATTGGCCAAGTAGTCCTTATTATCTAATGTTCCTTATAATAATGACATTGTAAGGTATTTTGTTATGGGAAATGTAGGGATGGGGGGATTTCACTGCCACATTACATTGTCATGCAAATATATGGGAAGTACATCTACCGGGGAAACCATTAGTCTCACACAGACTTCACTGTACCAGGACCTTGTTATTACTTCACACTCCATTTTATTCTGTATAAATCTTCTACTGATTCAGTTGAACATCATTAAACTCAAACTGTATTTTAAAGTTTCATCTTATAAAGTTTGGGGACACAAATGCAGCCATAGTGGCACCTGAGTAATAATAACTTACATCTTATGTATCAGATACTACCGTGAGTTCAGAAGGACACCAAAATGTGCTCAGTCTTACTTATTTTCATGACATTCACTCAGCTTGCTTATTTACATATACATCCTTTACCATCACACATTCTCAGATGTTTAAAATTGCCTACCTCTAAAGTGTATTAAGTTAAGCTTGATGAAGCTGAAAAACTGTAGTAATGGGATAAAAAGTCTGTCACTTCTAGTATCACAGGGGTAGCCGTGTTAGTCTGTATCCACAAAAACAACGAGGAGTACCCATGAAAGCTTATGCCCAAATAAATCTATTGGTCTTTAAGGTGCCACTGGACTCCTCGTTGTCTTTGTCACTTCTAGATTACTGCTTCAAAGCCAATCCAGATCGTTAGTGACCCAAAGTTGTCAACCTCACATGTTTACTTGGTGGCCTGAGTGAAATGAATTTGGAGACCTCACTCCAGTTCCCACTGGATAGAAGTTCATGACACAAAAATGGCCATCACAGCTGGCCCTAAGTGGCAGTCAGCAAAGGCCAAAGACTGAACAGGTGTGAGAGTGAAAACCCTCTGACCCCTAGAAGAGAGCCTTGGAAATGACACTTGGGGCATATTGGCCGATCAATATGGGGGAAGTAGAGCTGGCTGGAGGATGACAATTCTGTTTCGTGACAACTTCCAAGATTTCAAAATTGGTGTTTGTTCCACCTTGGTACAAACACATACCTTCCCAGTGCTTCAGTGAAAAGGAATGGTGTTGAAACATCTGTTTTCTGATCAAAAAGATCAGGTTTTCGATTTGGGTCTCTCTCGCTTATCAAGTGACCCGGGAGTCCACTCTGGACCTCAAAGACCTTTCTGTCATGAAACTTGTCAAATCTAATACATCTCTATGAAGCATCTCAGCTTCAGTGAAAAGACATTGTCAAAAATTATTCCAACCAGCTGTAGAGGGAAGTTTGCACTGTGTCTTGCAATGCTGTGTCTGTTGTGAATAACAAGATGATGTGAATCTGTAATGGAGTCAGTTTAGCACCTTCCATGAGCAGTACATTCTCACACATACACACAAATAAAAAGGGATTTTTTTTTTAGCATGTACATCCGAAAAAGGTGTTCGCTTTTATGTTTTGCCTAAAACGCCATCTTAATATAGATCTCTTTCATGTTGTAGTCCTCTCCATCCCCACCATCTGTGGAACAAATGTTTGTTTGTTTGTTAAGTGATGGATGTTCTTAAATAATATTCTTTTATTGTTAACGGGACAGTGAAACAGAAAGTGGAGCAGAAGCTGGAGCAGATGGGGAAAGTGCAGGGAGTCTGCCTGCACCCTGCTCATGTTTTGTGCATGGATGCCATCCTCAATGTGGGCCTGGAAATGGGAAGCCACAATCAAGACTGTTGGCCGCATGTGTTCAGGTACAGGAATCGACCAGCTTTACGTCAGAAAATTTATTTTAACAGAATCCAACTCCTGCTGCCTCGAGCAAGAGAGAAATAAATCTGTCTGCATTCAATTTATCATTCTGGGAGGTGCTCCAGTGCCACACACAAAAATAGTGGACCTAGGAGACTGAGTACAATTCAGTGGGTGAAAGGGGAGGAGATTTTTAAAAGGGCCTAAGGATAATCTTAGATACACCCATCTGAGTGCTTTCCAATCCTTAATATATTGATCCTCACAGCACTGCTGTGAGCCAGGTCAGTGCTGTTATCCCCCATAGTACTCATAGAGAACTGAGGCACAGGGGAGTTAAGGCCTAGATCCTCAAAGGGTATTAAGGCATCTAACACCCCTTGTGCCAGGACACATAGGAAGCCTGCGGCAGAGCAAGGAACTGAACCCAGGTCTCCGGCGAGTGCCCTATCCACCAGGCTATCCTTCCTTTCTAAGGTCATTATTGAAAGTCCAGGCATTTAGGGGCAACAAACCCCAGCAGGCACTTCTGGAAGTCTCCCCCTCAGACTGTAAATAAGAGCACTATCCCCTTCAGAGAAATTCCAGGCCATATGACATAACAAACCTCCACTTGCCTGGCACCAGATAGGCTGGACTCCATAGGCCAGGATGGCTCCAAAGCAGACGTGACCACCTGCCAGTGGTTTCCATTACCATTTTCTGGTAGTGGGATTCTTTTCACTTTTATGCCGCCCTTTTAATGTGATTGGCCTATATCACTATGCGTTTTCTAAATGATTAAACTAGCTGCAGTGACAGACGCTATTAGAGACCAGTAAAACAAATACATTGGACTTCATTATTCTACAGATGTTTCCAGATTACCTTTAAGGAGCGAATGCAGTGCAGGACCAAACAGTTCTATAGTGACTGACTCTAGGGATTCACAGTCCATCTTGTCCCATTTGTTCTCAGGGTGTGTGAATACATCAGCACTCTGGAGCACACCCATTTCAGCGATGGCGCATCTCAGCCCCCTCTCACTATAACCCAATCGCAGCAGGTCACAGGAGGGTTGCAGGTGGATTATTCGTCTGCAAACTCTCCCCAGGAACTGACCCCTGAGCAGGAGACCACCCTGAGCAACAATCCCATCATCCAGCCCGTCTCCATCCAGGACCTCATCAAGGAGGGCAGCAAGGGCAGAGCTTTCGACTTTCGTGGAGGCAGCCTGCTAAGTGGAAGCAATGCTGCCAAGGCAGTCCTCATCCTCTCCACGCAGGCTGACAGGTATGGATGGCAATGTCTGAAACCTGGTTTTGACTTCTCAAAACCTCTCCTGAGCCTTCCTGTAAAGTAAAGGGAACAAGCTACCAGTTCTGGACCTTACAAATGTTTATGCCATTCGCTCAGCAGCCAATGCTATAGTTGAGGTGGGGTTGAGATTTCTATTAACACATCCTATTTTCTCATACTCGTAACATGCTAAAAAAATTAAAATCTCCTTTTTGCTGAAATTTTCCATGCTTGGGCTCCATCCCCAAGAGGAATGTATTTGTATATTATCAGCGAAAAATAGTTAATGCCTGGCAGCATATTTCCTATGCAGCATCATTTTTTATTTCAGAATTGAAACACTGTGCACAGGACTACAGAATAATACAAATGCTTAATAGCGCTCTTCGTTATATAGGTGTGATTTTTGTAATGTAACTTCACTGTGGACCTCAATAGGTGCCTGATCCCATCCCATTCAAGTGAAGGAGAGATTTTCTGTTGACTGAATGAGAGCAAGATTAAGCCCTGGCTGTCTCGGTTTATGACTCTGCTGTTATGAAATTTCACTGTGATATCGTCAAGATTAGTGTTGTGATCTCCTTTTTTTAAATACAAAATAAATAGAGAAATTAAAAACCCAGTTTTACATTAATGTAAAGTTCAGCTTACAGTTTTAAACTACAATCCTAATTCAGAAGCTCCGTGGGAGCTTTGGATGTGCAGTCTTGCTGAAAATCCCACCACTTGCCTAGGTGCTGAACTTTAGGCTCCCGTCTCTGAAAATTTAGGCCTAAATTTCTCAAAGTAAGATTAATTCAGTTATTAATACATATATATGGGGCTTGCTCCTCAGATGGTGCAAATTGGTGTAACTGTGAAGTTAATGGAACTATGTCAATTCACCTCAGCTGAAGAGCTGACCCATGTCATATTTTAGATTGTTAGTTATTGGACCAATTGTGGCATTAAACCACTAGACGTATTATGAGGTGGGATTAAGAATGGTCTGTGCCACAGTTAAAGTCCCAGAAAGAGTTCTGGTTAATTTTGGACCCCTTTGCTCTTCCTCCCCCCAAAAATAATAAAGCTGGTGAATCAAAGTGGACTCAGTAACACTATGTAAACTAATCTACTGCTAACACTGGCAGGGTAGGTGAGGTTATATAATAATTAATGGAGATATCCCATCTCCTAGAACTGGAAGGGACCTTGAAAGGTCATTGAGTCCAGCCCCCTGCCTTCACTAGCAGACCAAATACTGATTTTGCCCCAGATCCCTAAGTGGCCCCTTCAAGGATTGAACTCACAACCCTGGGTTTAGCAGGCTAATGCTCAAACCACTGAACTATCCCTCCCCAATTTTCTTCAATGCACATAGAAACTTTAACCTCCATGGCTCATTTTCAAGTTACATTCTCTGCACTGTTGCTTACAGGCTATTTGAAGATGCTGCTCACAAGCTAAACCTGATGGCACTGGGTGGCTTCCTATACCAGCTCAAAAAAGCTTCTCAGTCCCAGCTCTTCTACTCAGTCACAGATACAGTTGATTACTCCTTAGCAATGCCAGGTAAATCTACTAAAGGCCTCGGAAGGATTCAGGTGTTTCTTGTATATTTTCTGCATTTCCTACATGATTTACTTTGTGTTCATTTTGCTACAGTATGCCCAGGACAGATAGCTCAAAGGCAACAATAAAATACAGAGTTGGAATTGCAAAGCATTTTCAATAGATAGCTACAGTCCCTGACCAAGAGAGCTTTCAACTTCTGTGGTACAGCACCTAGCACAACAGGGCACTAATCCTGACTCAGACATCTGGGTGCTAATATAATATAAACATGAATAATACATTTTAAATGTCCTTTAAGATTCCAAATTAGTAACATCTAGGGGCTAAATTCAGGTGTGAGCTAGATGGCAGGTGCAGGTGACATGTCACTGAATGGGTATACATGGCAGTAAGCCATTAGTGGGTTGTAGACAGGACCCAACAGGAGCTCTCAAGATAAAGTGGGGGGGATATGTTCTCCAGGTTTCTCCCTGTGTGTGGAATCCACCCCTCTGTAGCACAAGGGCTGTGCAATACTTAAGTCTCCCATAGGTCTTCAGACGGGGCATAAGGACCTGATCAAAAAGAAAATTTTCCATTGACTCAAAGAACTTTGGACCAAGATCTAAATGAGGCTTGAGTGGTGCACAGGATTAGCACAGTTCCTCTGCAAGGGGGTGAGTTTCACCCCGAATGAATTCAGATTGTGTTTTGTGCTACTTTGCATTGTTCCAGAATGACACTCAATTTGTTATTTTCTGCTCGTACGTCTTCTCTCTACAGGACTCAACAGCATATGTTACTTTATTATTAATAAATGGTCTCCCTCTTTGTTCTGTACACAATGTTCCATCAACAAATGTAGTAATAATAATTCCATTTTAAAGATTCATGCCATTAATAATTAGCCTAGTGCACACAGCTGCTTAAATATTTGTTTTCAGTGTCAAAAAGAGGTAACCTTCCTAATTATGTTCTCCATTAGAGATAAAAGCAGGGGCATCCTTTTGAGCCAGTTAGTGATGTGAATTTCCCAACATTTTGAGAGCAGTGGGAGATTAAATTCTTCGTATTAGGATGGTTTTCAAAGTGTTGGGGAATTAAGAATATGTACTGTCTGTTGGAACATTCAGAGTATGTTTTTAAGTTCTCTTTGTCCTGCGTTCTTCAACTCAGTAAAGATCATTTATAACCTTCCACTACTAAGAAAATAAAGAAATTGCAGTTAATACTCTTCCCTGTAAATGTTACCAAAGGCTTCTAAAGCCAACTCATTGTACTCAGGATTAATCATAAACCACTTGCCCACTTAGACTGCATATTTGCCAGTACTGAACATTATTATTTATTGTTATCATTGATTTATTATTTTATACTTTCTCCAAGTGTTTCCACTTTAAAAATGCATTTGAAAAAATCCACACTATTTGAAGCCAGTGAGACCTGCCAAAGCTGCATAGCTGTGTAAGCTGTTCCTACAATGTAGGTCTTTTTCTCAGTCTATTCCTATGCTTTTTGCAAGCACAGACTGCTAGCTATGCTGAATTTCTTTCTGGACTGGTCTTGCTGTGTATGTAATTAAAATCAAATAATTTGTGACCAGATCTGAATTCAAACCCAGACCTGCAGATATGAAATGCTGCAGATGCCTAATTTCTGTTAATTACCCCTCTGGTCATGACAATTAATTTTCACATTTATTTACTTAATGCACCTTATTTTTCTTGTAGGTGAAGTAAAGTCTACCCAGGACAGGAGAAGCGCACTCCATTTGTTTCGTCTTGGGGATGCCATGCTCAGGATTGTACGGAGTAAATCCCGCCCATTGCTCCACCTCATGCGCTGCTGGAGTCTGGTGGCACCTCATCTTGTAGAGGTGAGAGAGCGAGAGAGAAAGAAGAACCTGTGGAACTCACAGCTACAAGATATTATAAACACACCTTACTTAGAGATATTCAGAAAAAGTTTGAACCTATAAATGACTAAAGCAGAATATCTGCAGTTATACTGGCTAGAATAACATCTCAAGGGTTATTAAACTTCTTCATTAGCTAGAGTTAAGAAGAAGTATGCTCCTCTTCTTATGGTACAGTATTGCACAGCTAGAGATAGGTACGCTGTGGGCACTTTCGCACTGACCTCTCAAGCATCTGGTAATTGCTACATTTGGAAACATGATTCCAGAGACAGACCATTGGTCTATTTCAACATGGCAATTCCTATATTCCTGTGGAAACTAGTTGTGCCTAAAATAATTGAAAACTGTTCTATGTAATGGAGCTGGGTTTCTTGGGTGTATGTCATTCACATGAATAAGTATGTGTGCCTGAACTTTGTTTATGTTAATGAACATGTCATCATGGTTCAGGTTTTTAAGGTGCACAGGAAGCACATTTCTCAGGTGTTTAAGAGCTACGATGAAAATATTTGAAGTCGGGTGTTAAGGCCTGTTAAAGTACCCATACTGGTATGTTTTGACTGTACAAGTGGTTTTAATTTTCAAAATGACTAGTGATTTTGGATGCCCAGCTTGAGATACCTTAAAGGGGCCCAATTTTCAGAAGCTGCTGAGCACCCGCTTTCTGATATCCAGGCCCCTTTGGATGCCAAAATTAAGACATTTTAAAGAGTGAGACTCCCAGAATCACCTGTCGCTTTCAAAATGTTGGGTCAGTGTAGTTCTCTTTTGGTGAACTTTGGCATAGGTGAAAGCCTAAGGAGGAAATGGCTGGATGGAGTGAAGGGACTGAGCTTAGAGATGCCTGGGGTAGTCCCCCAGCGTGGAATAATTTTCTGTCCAGATTCACTCCAGCTCTTGCCAGATGAGCAGTGTACTGTTGACAGCATGCCATTTCTTTTTTAGTGTACTTTATTGCTAGTCATTTTTATTGTGCTATAGGTAGCCAGTTCCAAACAGATACCAGGTCCCTTTCCCAAGATGCTTTTATTCTGGAGTCTAAGAACATACTAAGTACAGTACTTATCCATAAATGGCCTTTTAAGAAAACATTATATTTATACAATGAGAATGAAGAAAAATTAAATCTCTCACGTTAGCCATTCAAATAAACAGTAATCTGAAAAAGATGGGAAGATTGTAGACCCTTTTTTTAACTTTTGAGTTTAGTGCTTTCTTTGAACTCTCAATAAATCTTCCTGCGTCTCTAGAATACTAAGCATCTTGGGTACACAGCTCCTTGTTTTCCATTGGACAGTCACTCTGTTCATTCAAGCAGGACCCTCTGGTCACACTATGCTGGAGCTATTTTTGGAGTTTGGCACTATCAAGTTGCTACTTCTGCCTCCCCGAAAACAGCCTAATCGAAAAGCAATTTTTTTTGCTTGGCCAAAATTCTGGTATTTCTTCCTTCATCCCTTCTGTCCCTGTAGGCTGCCTGTCATAAGGAGAGACATGTTTCTCGGAAGGCTGTCTCCTTCATCCATGATATCCTCACCGAGGTGCTGACAGACTGGAATGAGCCCCCTCATTTTCACTTCAGTGAGGCGCTGTTCCGCCCCTTTGAGCGCATCATGCAGCTGGAGCTGTGTGATGAGGATGTCCAGGACCAGGCAAGTCAAAGAGAGGGATAACTCAGTGGTTTGAGCATTGGTCTGCTAGACCCAAGGTTGTGAATTCTGTCCTTGAGGGGGCCACTTAGGGATCTAGGGCAAAATCAGTACTTGGTCCTGCTAGTGAAGGCAGGGGGCTGGACTCGATGACCTTTCAAGGTCCCTTCCAGTTCTAGGAGATAGGATATCTCCATTAATTATAATTATTATTAACCCTGATGATGGTGCCTACACCCTTTGTGCTATACAAACAATGAGGGCGGTCTCAGGTGTACACCTAGTGCCTAGAGTATCTGCCTACTTTCCTTTAATGGGGTGATATCTCTCTTCGGGGTTTTAGAAGGGTCCTTTTTCCTTAGCTATAGCACCAACACAAACTGTGGTAGACAGAGCACAATTATTTTTGTAATAAGCTCCTCTCTGTAAAAGGAGCCCTGACCATTGTCACCCCAGTGCAGTTCAATACAGTGGCTTTTCTACAGTGCAGTGTATTGTTGAGCAGTACTATATTTTGCTCTGCTCCTTTGTCAGGACTCACCTCAGGTTCAAATTACTACTTTTACAAGGTCAGGGATTCCGCCTAGTATACACTCCAGTATACACTATGCATTAGAGCCACATCTTCAAAGAGGGGGCACATCTAATTGCAGCCAAGAAGCACTAGGCTTTTGGAATGTATGCCTGGTGGTTTAGCTATTCTCTTTCCTTAGAGCAGGAACATGGTTATTCAACAGAAATCCACCTCCAGTCCTATAGATGTTAATGAAAAGTAACTTTCTCTGAAAAAAACTATAGAAAAATCTACATTTTTTCAGTTACTTCTGTAGATGTTTGTACGGTAATTTCTGTTAGTAATTCCTTCCACCTGTTCTACTGGGTGGGTTTATGTTTGTAAAGTTCTCTCTGCTTTGCCTACAACAGGTGATCACGTCTATTGGGGAGCTGGTGGAGGTGTGTTCCATTCAGATCCAGTCTGGGTGGAGGCCCTTGTTCAGTGCACTGGAAACAGTGCACAGCAGTAGCAAGTCAGAGCTTAAGGAGTACCTTGTTGGAGAGTATTCTATGGGTACGAGTTTTCTCTGTTGCTTGTTTGATACATCTTTGTTTCTTCGTCCCATTATCTCTAGGACATAAAAATACTACCATAATCTACAATAAGGGTCCAAAACAATCCATTGCAAAACTCAGTAGTGTCATTGCAGTGTGTTGGGTCCTTACTGCAGTACTCTACAGTATCTAAAATATTTTTTAGTAAGGGAGAAAACAAATGTAAATCTCTGAATACTTTATCCTGTGATTCCTGTCAAACGCTAGCAGACATACAGGGGTCAGAGAAAGAGGACATTAACAAAGCTGTTCAGCAGTCTGCCTGAGCCATGTTCTGCTGCTGGAACATTAGGTCCATCAGGTTCCTCTGCGGGTGTCCTACTGGAGGAAAGAAAGATGCTTCTTATAGCCGTCTCTTGTCTATGCACTCAGGCCAGGCAGCCTACATTTTGCCCCCAGTATGAAACAGGTGCTCCTGTAAGAGGAGGACTGTTAGCACTAGAAGTGTTGGGCAGATGGTGAGCAAGCTTCATCTCACATAACACTAACACATAACTCCTAAAGTCTAATCTGTAACAGTCGTGGTATATCAGTCCCAGATCTCTCCTGAACACAGCATGTCAATTTTATGGCACTTATATGGAGAAATATCCATTATTCTGGCTTTTGATCAACTTTATAGGTATTTTTAAATGTTTTAAAGTAAAATATAGGCATGTATTATGTGCCTGCTGGAATCTAGTCTTTCAGATCCATTATGTACATTAGGCAAGCTTTAAAAGGCATATTTTCAACTCAGGAAAACACACCAGTTTTGCCTCTGTTAAATAGCATCAGGATTGTGAATGTGATAGCCACCATGTCGGCCAGCAACACCAAGAATTGAACCAGGGACCTAAACCAGAGCTAAAAGCATGAAGTGAGCCCAGCCTGAGCTAGAGAGACAAGTCTCGATAGCTGGGGCAAATCTGCTCTAGGAATTATTTTGGGGGAATTCTTTGGCCTGTGTTATACAGGAGGTCACAAAGGTGCCTTCTGGCCTTGGAATCTGTGAAACTGTGACTCACTCCTCTGCTGATCAGGCACAGAGGGGAACCTGTAAAACAGTCACCAGTGGGTTGCGTGAGTACCCTCAGGTTGCTAGTCCCTTGGGAGCCAGGAGAAAAGGAAAGTAGATGCAGCTTCCAAGGCAGTCACAACATTTGCCTGTCAGAAAGTTGCCTAGCGATCACAGGAGAGGTACGGTACACTCAGCTGAGCTAGGGAACCTCAACTTATTAAAATAAATAAATAAATAGCTGCCTTCATCTCCTACTGCTCTCACAGGGAAATGCCAGGCTCCAGTTTTTGACGTTTTTGAAGCATTTCTCAACACAGACAACATCCAGGTCTTTGCCAATGCCGCCACTAGTTACATTATGTGCCTTATGAAGTTTGTCAAAGGATTGGGTAAATATGATTTTTCCTTTTTTTTTTTCATTAAGCGCAACCTTTCTGTGGTGGGGGTGGGAGGGTTATTCTGGAAGAAGTGACTTTTGTTTGTTATAAGGTACAAAATATGCTTGGAGAGAGGTTTAGCAAATGGTAAGCAGGGGTACTGTATAAAAGACACCCAAAATAAAAGGATTATTCAAAAACACTTTTGATGCTGTCGGATTTTAGGGCATGTCACAGCAACAAAGATTCTAACAAAGCCATCTAATTATTAATTTTTTCTCATTTTCACTATGACCTACCATACCCCTATATAAATACTATAGAATTCTACAGTACAATAATAGTCCAGAACTCTGCAGTCACGGTATTGTAATATTTGGGACTGGGGTTGGATTAGCACAAAGAACACTAGCATTTTTTCATAAGGGCAGTTTTCCATCCAGTGATCAAAGCCACATTTTTTTCCCCAGTCCCCTAGCAGCAGCGTTTGGCACACAAACTGCCAAAAATCTGCTGGAACCTTCAGTAAGAACATGAGTATCACAGGTAATAACAATCTGTCAGCAAGATTAATTTTTCTTTTCTGATAGTGAGGGTAAAGGAAGTGGGAGAGAAGATAGGGTATGCCAAGTCAAGGTGACCCTGTACTTTGATTGTAGTGCTTGGAGAAATTTCAGAACAAAGGCAAATTCGGATGGGTTGTTCTGCCCTCTTATTCACATTTCCCGTCTTGCTTTGATCATTTAAAAAACAATTGTCAGAAATTCTAAGAAATTATGGAATTGATTCTCCTCCTACTAATGTAAATAGCAAAATGCCAGGGGAAACTGGATGGGGCCCTACTTTCTTCTTTTATTTAACTCTACCTTTAATTCATAAATGATGCAGCAACTTTGTGCCTGACCCCACGCACTAAAGTCAATGGGAGTTTTACCACTGACTTCAATGGGCGCAGGGTCTAGCCCTTGAGGAGGGGAAGGGAGTGGAACTTCAATTATTTGCTACTTTATCGAGGAAAATTAAAATTGTATGCAAAGAGCAAACTGGTAAACGCTGAACCTGGCTGTCTTCAGAAACAGATGTTTCTCTGGGTGGTTTAAAAAATATGTTTTCCATTTGGTGAGAAGGATTTATCAAAGGGAAAAGAAATGGATATTTCTTGTTTGTAAAATTGTAATGGACAAATGGAATTCCTACTCTATATATCAAATTCTGAATTTTAACGAAATGTCTCATTATATGTAATATTTACCTACAAGTGTTGTTCTAATTATCTGCAAATATAGACCATCAACAAATGTTACTCGGGTTTTGCTGATGCTCAGGAACAAAGGAAAGGACATTTATTCATTGGGGGTTTGTTCCAAAGCTTACCAAAATCAACAGATGTCTCCCCACTGGCTTCAATGGGCTTTGGATAAGGCCCTAGATCTTGTGCACCTACAGTACAGTGCTTATGAGGAACCATATTTTTAACAATAAAATATACACAGATCTGTTCATTTGCTTTAACTACCGGAAAGCACCTGCACCTGGCAATAGGCACTGAAAAGTTTAAATAAAATTGTCTAGAATTCCTTGAGGAAAAAAAAACAATTTCTCCCATTATTTCATTAACAAATCCATCTCCAGAGTAACTGCTAAGGTAGGGAGACACAGTGGTCCAAATTTATTCCTGGCCGCACTCCAGTGACTTCAGTGGAGTTACAGCAGGTTTGAATTTATACCTATATGAATCAAAGATTTGTCACCTCCCTCTTATACACTGTGGTCACACTTTATATTAAAGGTACATGTATAAATAGTTCATGAATGAGAAATAGATAATATGATGTGTGTGGTATAGATGGTTATAAGCATGTCAGTTGAAGATGTTGTAGATGAATATAAACTCCGGTTATAATATAAGTAACCTATAGGATCTATAACCATCTGTAATTAAATTAATTATCCATTTATTAAAGTGTTTGTAAATGTACTCTTAATCTAAAGTGTGACAGCCATTATTATGTTGTTCAGTGGGAGAAGTCTCCCCAAACTCTTTGGACTGAGGTCTAAAGGCTGCATTATGGAAAGTGTAGTCAATAGCTCATAATAGCCAGATTTAATGAGAAATATGTGTTGCATAACTTTTAATGCTGTGTTTACATTTCTTTTTTCCCCCCTTCTCCTTCACCCTGCTTTCCACCCCTAGGAGAAGTGGATTGTAAGGAGATTGGTGATTGTGTGTCAGGATCTATGTCTACAGACTTGTGCCTTCCTGCTCTTGATTACCTCAGGAGGTGTTCTCAGGTATGCCTAATGATCACAGAGAGCTATAGACCTGAACTAGAAAACCGCTTCTAGGTTTCTTGACTCACCGCAATCATTGGAAATGTTTATATGCACATAATAGAATATTTTATGTATACAATCTTTGTGGCAAGCTTAGTGGTAATATCCTGCACTGCCATAGAGGAGGCCAAGGGTCAGTTCTTTATTGGAGTTTCTTATTCTCTTGGCTAGCTGAAGGGAGCAAAGCTCAGGATATGGTAGACTCAGTCCTGAGGAGAGAGAAATGGATTGTATGCTCTCTGAATGAGCAAGATATGGTACTAGCAAGATCAAAGGTGCATCCAGTCTTACTCCAGCAACACTGGGACTTTGGGGAGTGGAGACATTTCAGAGAGAAAAAAATAGTGAGAATCCTCACATCTCTAGAAGTGTGATGGACTCCACCTGCTGAAATAGGTCAGCAGCCTGGTTATACCACAATAATATATGTAAAGGCAAGGGCAGAATTCTAAAATGTCAGAATGCTAGCATATTTTGTATGCAGTGTTGTTGTAGCCCCCGGATATTCGAGAGACAAGGTGGCTGAGGGAATATCATTTATTGGACCAACTTCTATTGGTGAGAGAGACAAGCTTTCAAGCTACACAGAGCTCTTCTTCAGGCCTGGGGAGGGCATTCAGAGTGCCACAGCTAAATACAAGGTCAAATAGATAGTTTAGCATAAGGAGTTGGCACATATTCGAAGGGATCATTCAAGGTGAAGTGGCCCGTTAACACCCTGTAGTCATAGGACGAAAAGGAGGGTTAGTGGATTACAGATTGTTGTAATGAGCCATACCTCCAGTGTCTTTATTAAGCCCATGATTTTTAGTGTCTAGCAAAATATATTTTGTATAAACCCAGTGCTCATAGCATCGGTTACTGTTCAGGACTGCTTGGACTTTTTTTTGTCTGCACTTTGATTTGTACACAGTACCACGTGAGGGTCTTAATCATGCATTGGGGCCCCATTGTGCTTGATGCTGTACAAATGCATAACAGAGAGAGTGTCCTTGCCCCAAAGCAATTACAATCCAAGTATAAGATGAGAGATAACAAGTAGATGCAACAGACAGACTTCAAGAGGGGAATGGGCACAAGGAAATAACAAGACCGTACTGGTCAGCAAGATAAGCAGCAGTCACCACAAATCATAATATGTTTTTATTGTTAATATTCTGTGTGATAGTGTTAAGCATTTGGTGAATCACAAAATCTGCTACACATCACATTATCCTTTTCCCCCACCATAACCACAAAGAAAGGGAACCACCCTATCTATCTCTCTAATATAAATTTTAATTAATCTTACCAGAAAAAAAGAAGAGTAAAAAATACAATAGGTACATTACAAATACCTCTATTATATGCAAAAATGCCTAACAAGCAAAGTACAGGACTTCTCTCTGTTCACAAATTGAAATTTAGGTCCTAATTCTACCATGCTCAAAGCAGTACCTTAATCTGTAAATAGCTCTAGTGAAATCAGAGGGACTGCTGGCAAAGTACCTATTCAATGTGAGTTAGGGGGCAGAATCAGGCCCTTAAATTATGGTTTGTTTGGTTTTAAAATACCTTGCTGTCTGTTGGGTATCGCAGTCTGATGAAGATGTTGGAGAACCAGCCATGGAGGCTGCCTCATAATTTGAGAAACACTATTTAGTTTATAGGAATTGGTAATGACATGATACAAATGCAGGGAATGAAAATGTTAGTGGCACTACACTGCTAAAGTTTATTTAACTTTGGACCACGGGCACCAATGTGCGATTGTGAGCGACCATTTTGAATACCACATTGAATTTTAATCCATTCAGTTCATATTGTGAGCAGCCACTCACTCACTCAAGAACTTCTAAAGTTACATAGATTTATGGCACCAGAAAATGTGGAATCCCAGCTTTCAGAACATATAAGGATTAACATTATCTCTGGTGATTGGTGATATCATGCTGCAGAGATCGTGTTCATTGCAGCTGGCAAACCAGTATATATTGTTTCAGGAGCAATCAACCTTTACTGGGCTAGTGATCAGAAAGAAAAAAACAGTCTCCAAAATATTCTGCAGATAGGTGGATGGCTGATAGATAACGATAATATTTAGTATATATTGAGTGCTTTACATCTTCAAAGTACTCTGTGTACCACTAATCCTCAGGCAGGACCAGTATTATTTGAATTTCACAGCTTGGGGAACTGACACACAGGTTATTTAAATGACTTGTCCAAGGTCACAGAGAAAATTAGCAGTAGAGGGAGGAGCTCTTGACTCCTAGTCCTCTGTTCAGTGCCCTAGACTGTTGCCACTAGATAGACCTTATAATGCCACTATCAATCCCAAATATTAATGTCACTCTAATAGTTATTTTGCCGGTGTGCAGCATGATGGCACTTCCACACTTTCCCATGTTACATTTTTTCTTTGTTTAGTTGCTAGCCAAAATCTACAAAATGCCCTTGAAGCCAATTTTCCTCAGTGGCCGGCTGGCCAACTTGCCCCGAAGAGTGCAGGAGCGATCAGCCAGCAGTGAGGATGGGATTGAGTGTGTCCTTTCTGACTTTGAGGATGACTCTGGTAGGTGATTTTAAAATAATGGCTGTGGTTACACAAGAAGTTAATCAGCTCCACATGTAATTGTGAATTTGGCCGACTGCTGCAAATGTTCAGAAAAGAGAGTCCAGAAATATGGTGTCGCCCTGTGTCTATATTGTTTACATATCCACATATGTAGCAAGTTTAGCACTGTTGTGATGGTTCCTCTCAGTGGGGAGAACACATGTCTAATTTAGCTATATCCTCCCATGCATACTCAGGTGATTTCACCTCATTTATACTCAGTGATACACTGCATACACAGACCCACACTCCTCTGGGATGAGGGGATCAAGTAATAACAATGACAGCCTAATAATCCTAACCGTTCCATCCACTAAATGGGTATGAATGGAGAAAAAGCAGAGTAAGGCGGGAAGGGGATAGATGCTCTATAAATGAGAGAAGGGAGTGGAGTGTAGAGATTCAAATGGGCAATGCCCCATCACCACCACTCACACAAACTGTATTGGGATGGATAGGAGTAAAGACTAAAAACCCATTATCTAGCTCACAGGAGATTTTTTCATTCATCTCCCTTGCATTCTGAAACCAACCCCAGCCCATGATCAAAACAGTAAATGCATTATAAATAGCTTCTCGTCTATTTCCCCACACCTTACTCCTAGCTTCTCATTATGTGTCCATATTTCTAGGCCTTATCAATGTCTGGATCATTCTGCTGGAAGAATTAACTACTGCCATATCCAACTGTCCCCGCCAGCACCAGCCACCCACCCTGGATTTACTCTTTGAGCTGCTGAGAGATGTTGCCAAAATTCCTGGTAATTTCAACGACTTTATGGAACATCTGCTACTGAAACACAGAAAAATCCTTGTTAAGCTAGCAAGGACTGTGAAGATCGTTTGCTTAGCTCCTCTAGAGAGGAGACATTGTCCTTGTGGTGTTCATCAGTAACTTCTCGGCTTGGTTAAAGATCACATTGACTGGCTCCCAAGGGAGCTTCATCAAAAAGATTATAGTCTTTGCATAGGGGAGGGGAAAGGGATAACTGTGGTAACTGTGTGGTAGCTGTTGGCATGTGTTAATTTTTTTAATTGGTACTGTTGTCTAGTGTACACGATTCTCCTTGTTCTTGACACATCATGATATGCAAGTATTCTTTTCTCCACTCCCTTGAAGGCCAATCTGTAGAATGATATGACATCACTATATATTGGTACATTCCCTGCACATCTGCTCTTTTATCCAGAACAAATACTTACAACAGAGCAAGGTAAAGCAGGATCTGCTTGAAAAACTTCTCCTATTTCTTGACGTGCTGGACTGTTCTCTGTATATTATTAGACACTCTTCATGAAATCCTCCTTGAATGTTCATGCAGAATAAAACTGCACTGCTCAGTTTGCATTCCTATAGTCAGAACCAGAACTGTGCATCAGACACCCTAATACAGAAACGTATGTTTTTACACCACACCATATATGGTTATAAATGTGTTATATTAAAACCACACACATAATTGGCTTGATGAATAAAAAACAAGTTGCTGGTGTCAAACTCCTAGAATTAAGTATTGTCATGCCTAGTATTTATTTTATTAACAGCTGAATATCTTGCCATGCTCCTGATCACTTCTCCCCAGAAAATAGTTGCTCTGTCATCTCTTACATCTTACAATAAATCTACACTAAATTCAAGAAAATAGTTGGATTCTCGATGTACCCTTCAATTGGTGGCAATTTATACACCTTCAACAGACAACCCAAGGTGTATGCACTGCTGCAAACATTACTGGCTCTTAGTTAAGACAACACACGTGTTTCAGATATTTTGGAAGTAATTTTCATTAACATCATTCAATCCATGATCTCTGTCTGGTAAAGGATCCTGGATTTCTTAGTTTGGGCATGTGTTTGAGTGAGTATTTGCAGCCAGAAATTCTTACCATGGTTGTGTTTTCCTTCCAGGCCCAGGATTTGGCATTTATGCAGTTGTACATCTTCTACTCCCCACAATGTCCCTCTGGCTCCATCGTAGCCATGGTGACCATTCTTACTGGGATGCGGCATCTGCTAATTTCAAGCATGCCATTGGCCTTTCCTGTGAACTGGTAGTGGAGCACATTCAAAGTTTCATTCATTCAGGTAAGCAGTGTCCCTTCAACATCAGATTTAGTGATTCACTAACGATGCAGGGTTTTACTGTGTGACATTGTGACGGGGTTCGACTCACCACTGCTGGCGCCTCTCGCTGGTCATCCTGGGAATTAGCTCTGTCCACTGTGGAGCGCCCTCAGCGTGTGGTGTCTTGCCTATTGTCCGTTCTGCTCTGGGACCCGCGTTGCTCTCTGCTCGGCGGTGTCCCCTTCAGGACACTGCCTTCCGGCCGTGCCCACTACTCCAGACGCACCCCCGAGTGGGGGTGGGAGGGGCAGTTAACAGCAGTCTTTAGGACTCACACCTGCCTCAGTGGCCAACCGCAACCCAGAGTCTAGCCCCTTAGCTCAGGGGCAAGTTGCAGTCTGTATTGGCCACCGTCTTCTGTGGCCAGGTGCAGTATAGTAGGGGTGTGGGGGGGACACAGGCCCGCCCGCTACTCTGGGTCCCGTCCCAGGGACCCTTTAGCGGTAGCCTCCTTCGTTCCCCTCCTGTCCGCTTTTCTTCCCTGGGCCACTTCCCCTTTGGCCCTGTACACTTCCTCCACCCTTTATAGCAGGGGCGGCAGCCTGACAGGTAACGAGGCGGGAGCTCTAGCTTCTCCTGAGCCTGCCCAGCACTGCTCTGTCCGAGGTGCTACCTCCTTCCTCAGGAGCCGGTCCTTCTCCCTTGCCAGCCAGGGAGAGTCTGACTCTCCTCCTGCTAGGTAGCCTTTATATAGGGCCCTGCCCTGCTTGGTTGCCTCTTCCTTCCCCTGACTGGCCCTCCGCAGGCCTTCGTTGATTGGCTGCTAGTCTGCGCAGCCTCAAAGGCCTGTTTCAGCCCTTTTCTCAGGGGGTGGGGCAGTCGCCCCACCACAGACATGCTTAGAAGATGGCTTGGTTTGGTTGCTCAAGAACAAGTCAAAATCAGGGAGAGTGGGAAGGTCATTTTTACCTTAAAAGGGATTATGTTAAACTTTCCAAAAATATAAAGTCATGGAGTATTATACTCAAGATTATAATGGACGGGAATTGGCAGGAATAGGAGCTAACATAGTACTTTCCCCAGTATCAGTTGGACTATTTTACGTTCCCATATACTTGCCTGAAGAGAACAGCTCTCCTCTTAATTTGCTGTGTTTTGACACCTATAAAACTGCCAGTAGTGTTAAAGAGAATCAAGTTTGTAAAACATCCAGATATCAAAAAGAAGTATGACTGCTGTTTGTCTAGATGATATTGCGAAGGTGGGAATGCTAAAAACAACTTTCTTTTCCCTGTAGACATTGGCTACGAGAATATGATTAATACAATGCTAAAAGATCTCTTCAAGTTGTTGGTAGCCTGTGTGGCAGAGCCTACAGAAACAATCTCCAGAGTTGGCTGCTCATGTATCAGGTAATATAGAAGATCCTCTTTCTCCCATCAACATATTAAAAAAAGAGGAAGTGATGCAAAGACTCCTGAGTAGAGACGTCTTGGCCAAACATACAGATTGATCATTTTGGCCAGTACCTCTCTTGTTCTTTAAAAGCAAAATCTAGAGTTAGAAAAAAGCTGAAATCAAATTTTCGTCAATTAGCCAGACTCTGTTTGCTTGTTATCAAACCAAATTCCCAGTCGCGAAGGGGAAGGTAGGAATGTGTGGGAATGTCCATGGCCCATCTGTATCGCCTGGATGCTGTCAGAGCAGAGGAGAGTCTCCATAATTTTGGGAAATGATGTAAATAAACATGCTTGTTCCTCCCATGAAAATATCTGCTCTACACTAATATCTACATCACTAGTCAATACACAACCTCTAGAAAAAATAATCAAACTGCTGTTGGGTGGGATTCACAGGTCTCCTGAGGTAAGTATCCTCATCACATTGTGCAAATTATTATTGCAGTCAAACCCAAAATGTGGTGCATAGCACTGAACAGACAAAGAAAGATGCAGCCCGTGCCCTGGAAAGCTTGCAATCTATATAGATAAAAAGCACTCAAATAGCAGCCAGGAAAGGAATACAATGTCTAGGCAAAATGGTCAAGGTGATGATTGGCACATATCTTACTAGCTCGATGTTTGTGAAGCAGCTGCCTAGATTTTGCTCTACCCAGTGGCCCAATTTCTACCTTCTTCCTTTGAGTCAGAAAAAGTTTTGTAGGGCCTGCAGGTTTGATAGCTTCCAGTGTCCTTACTTGCAGGTATGTCCTGGTGACAGCAGGGCCCGTTTTTACTGAAGAGATGTGGAGGCTTGCATGCTGTGCATTACAGGACGCGTTCTCTGCGACTCTTGAGCCAGTAAAGGTAAAACCAACATTCCAACCAGCCTCAATTCACTGATATTTGCTAGATAAATAGATTCCCTTTTCTGATAAACTTTTGTGTCTAATTTCACCCAAGCCACAATAAAGACTGTTTGCCTGAAAATCGAAAACATCAGAAAAGTAATTTCAGATCCATTATCATATATTTTAGTTATTGGTATGTTAATTTAGTTTTAGTGATAGGTCTCAGATTAATAACCCTGGAAACAGAAGTGTTCTATTTTTTCCAAAGAACGTGTACATCATGGGCAGTGGCATGGTGCCATGCTTCCTAAGCCAGTGCTCTAGTATTGCACCAAAGATTGGGGAGGGAAGTGACCAGGCTTCTTCATGCTGCCCTGCCAATGTGAAATCAGCAGGGTTGAACAGGTGCAAGTGAGAGCAGACTTTATCTGCCTGACGTGTCTGTGTATCCAGTTCTTCAGCTGGATTTACAAACGCAATGGGAAAACAAATGATAGCCTTAGTGATGTTTTTGCTACAAACTGAGTCGAGACTAAAACACTTGTCTCTTTTGACTCAGTCTTTGGTTGTAACCAAAAACCCTGGTAAGTCATTACAGTCCAAGCTGCTTAAAAGGGAATCACAGTGCATTAATTCAAATAAAATATCAGGGGAGATGCCAGGGCAATTATGGGAGATCGCTCAGAATCAGGTAATACACATGTGCTAATAAGGATAGAGGGCTCTACAACTACTTGGTTGATCTTACACACAGTGAAAGACTGATGTTGTGTCTCTCTGTAGAACCTATTGGGCTATTTCCACAGTGGTTCTGAAAGCTTTAGTGGCGATGCCTGTGAAGTGAAGGTGGCGGCCCCATCTCTCTCTCCCAGTGCCGAAGCTGAGTACTGGAGAATCCGAGCCATGGCGCAACAGGTAATGATCTCATTACAAAGGAAGCGAGAGAACAAACTATATACCAAGAGTTAAACCAACAGGCAGGTTGGGAATTTTCTTTCCAAAAACTCTTGGAAAGGACAAATAATTGTACTGTGGGAAGAGTCCTTGCTCAGTACCTTTGTTACTGGAGGTCCGGGGAAGTGTTTCCCTCCAACTATGTGTTGTCTCCCCGTGCCGGTCAGTAGGCTTGTGAAGCTCCATATTAAAATAGCATCTTGCTGGAGTTTACCTTGCCTTTCCTTTGCTCGTCACTTAAGGCAGCACCACATCAACTACTTCCCCAAGCAGCCCTTTGTGCAAATCCAGGTAAATGTCCTCTTAGATATAGAAATAATCATTCTCCCGAAAGTAGTAGTGGAATGTCTGGTCACATTAAAAATAAATTGGACAAGCCCTTGAAGCTAGGGACAATCCTGCTTGGGGGAAAGGGATGGATAGATGAACCACCAGGTCACTTCTGTCAATTTGTGTGTGTAATTGATCGTACCTGCTGCTCTTGGAATGCCCATTCCACAGATAAGATGCAGACCTGGAATTGATGGGCAATAACAAAAAGGCAACCCAGTGGGTGACAGAGACTAGTGGGTGGCATTGGCAGTGTTTGTTTTGTAATTTTTTAACACATGAAGTTCAGAGAAGCCCAACTCCCGTAACCCCTATCTGGCTGCACATATGCATACACAGTGTCTCTTCAGTGACATCTCCTGAGATGAATTCTGCTCAGTTACAATACAAAGCATGACAAGCCACAAGAGCTGAGATTTGGTTGATCATGGGAAGTCAACAGGAGTTGGGTGCCTTTGAAAATAATCCCCCTCAGAATGCACAGCCCTCACAGGTGGGACACATTAGCCATGCGAAGGGGCTGTTCTGTTCCTATAAGTATTACCTTTTCAAACGGTGCAGGTGTTGAGCTGCTTGCTGTGCATAATGTGTGGTTTTTTTAGGTTTTCATGTTAGACACCCAGTGCTCACCAAAGACCCCCAACAACAAGGAGGGATTTGAACATGCTCAGTCCTGTGTGCTTATCATTGAGCTGCCTGCTGACAAGAAACACAACGGGCATACCCAGAAAAGGTGAGAAGCCATTCCAAAAGGCCTTCATAGGGCTAAGCAGGAGGCAAAGAATGTTTTTAGCCAGGTAGTGAGGTGAAAGCAGAAGAGCAGATCTGTCCTCCAGTTTTGCTAAAAATATGAATTATCAATGAATAGAATGGAACTTAGGGAAGAGAAACAACCATTATCAGCACACAGGAGAGACCCATTTGTGAGGAAACATTGATTGTGCAACCCTCCCACTGGTGAGCACACACTCATATGAGTAGTCCCATTGAAGTAAATAAGGTTACGTGTGTGAGTGCTCACCTATGCCAGGGATCCACAATCAGTTCGGTAACCTCATCACATGGTATGTGAAAACTAGACTGGAAAAAGAACCAGGAAATCATTTATAGGGAACTGTGTGTATGTGAGTGAGGGATGGAGTTGGACTCAATAACCTACAGTGCTAGTTCTTGTCCATCTCCAATATCTAGGGTTCATTCTGTTTCCTTCGGTGCAGCTCTCTGGATTTTTCATCAGCCAAAAGCAGAAATTCCCTTCAACAGGTTACAAAAATTTGCAGGCACCAGGCAGATAAATGGAAAAATGGTTATGCTGTTTTGTAAATGACCATAGTATGTAGAAATTAGAACCAGAATTATTAATTTGTACTCCACAAATGTCAGTAAAATTTTCCACTTTTTTTAACCATAACACCAAAATTACGCAGAGGAAACTTTTGCTTGTTCCACTAAATGACTGTTAAAATTATTGGATTAAGAACAAAAAAGAAATGTAGGACAGTGGGTCTCGTGGAGCAATGTAAGCTAACCCTAGGTTAGCAAAAGCATTGTCCAAAACTACCAGGGTCATGCTCGATATACTAAGATGAGGAATTTTTTGTGTGTTTGTAGATAGAACTCTTCAAGTATTGAGTCATCCCATCACAGATCTTTCAGCATGTGATTGCCTGGCACTTCACGTTCTGAGCTCATCACATAACATTTAAGTTGATACTTTTTGGCACTGCTGAACACTAACGTCAACCCCAATAGCACAAATGGGACACAGAGTCAGAATTGTGAATCCAGGACCTGCATTTATATTGTTGGAAATGTATTGCCAACAATGAAACCTTTAGGGAGAAATGTATGTGATAAATGGCCTGCAAGCAGGCATTGTGGCAAGCCCCCTTTGCTCCTCCTTATTCAGAGCTGTAGTCTTGTTCACAATGAGGGGCAGATCTTGATGGTCCTTCCTTGGGTGTACAAAGGTCTCCCCCAGCTGCAAACCCTATGCTACCTCCTCTCGAGGGTGCACAGGGACTGTTTTCTCCTGCTTCCCCTCAAGGAACAGGACTCCAAAAAGGGGTCAGGGAGGGTTGGGATCATGACCTTAACCCTCTCCTTGCCTGGGGGGAATAACCAGCTCCATGCTAAAGAATGGGACAGATTGTGCAACATTCCTTTACCTACTCAGTGTGCATAGAGAGGTCCAGTGGCGACTGTAGCACTTCCCAGGGCAGTGACAGAAGTGTCAATCTATACCCAAGCATTTGTAAGGGAACACGGGCCTTTTGAAAGCATCACTGTACTGAACACAAGTACTCTGAACCATTCCAGCAGCATTAGACCTGTGTAGTGTCTAAACAATAACCAGGAGTTTGGTTTTGTTTTCATAAGTGAGTTTCCACTATTTAGCCTACTCTTCACCAGAATAAGGCTCAACCTTGACTGTGCCATTGTTTTCCTTATTATTATTTTCTACAACAATACATCTGGTGCCAATCTTGCATGCTGAAAATTGTAACCATTCTGAAGCTTTGTTTTAACCTCGTAGGATTTCTCTTTTCCCATTTGATTTTTGCTTCATTAATGCTACATTGTTCCACAGGAAGCTGGGGTAAGGGAGCTTTTTTTTTTCCTACAATATAGTTTCATAATTTGCAGTCGCAAACAAAAGATAAAATAACGTTATGCTTAAATGGGATTGGTGTTGTGTTCTCGCTTGTGTGTCTGTGCCAGCACCTTAGTTTGGTGTTTTACCTAGGAAACGACATCCTGGCCAAGCAGTACTGCAAACTAATATCCTATTAAGCTATAAGGCCCAGATTTTTAAAGGTGCTTAGGCACTGCGGTGCTCAGCATTGCAAAGCCTAACTGATCTAGGATCCTAAATCTCATTTTCAAAAGGAATAAAGTCTAATTGCCTTTGAATGTCAATGGGATTTTGGCTCCTCAGTGCCTAAATCCCTTCTGAAAATGAGATTTAGGCTCCTAAATCAGTATAGGTGTTGCTGCCCTCAGTATTGCAACACCTAATACCTTTAAAAATCTGGGCCTAAGCCTATTAAAGGGTGTGTGGATTTCCCCAATTCTGGTCCTGGGTCTGGCACATGATTAGTCCCTTCAAGACAATGGAAGTACTCATTTGCACGTGCTTAAGTACCTTGTTGAATCAGAGTGTGTGTCAGTAATGTTTGTAAAGCAGAAGTCTACCTGCTAGAAAAGAGCTCTTGCATAATCATAAGGATTTTGTCATCATCACAGTCGTCGTGTAATATGAGACCATTCCAGATTTCACAGAGAAATTTACTGAGTCACCTGCACTGACCACAGGTGTCACGGCAAACACCCATGCATGGATAGATTTGCCATGACAGCACTGATACGACATTGTCTGACCTGTGACCACTGCACATACGAATTGCATCACAATATCAGAGCTAGCTTCTATACCAGAGTAACACGTATTTGCACATCCAACCGCATGCTGCACAAGCTCTATGATACTAGCACTCAGTTCCTCCTGTCATGACAGGCACTGCTATCCAGGTATGTTTACCACAGCATCAGTTTCAATTCTGACATCATAGCATCATGTGACTGTATGCAGAGATTAAGAAAATTATCATGAACAAAGGTGCTAGTGATTTGTAGGATTTAAAAAACAGGCTAGGATACTTTTTAAGGCACTTTCTTCCTAGCCTGGTCTATGCTGTAGGATTCTAAACATTACTCACTGGTGAATTATCTGCAAAATTTGATCATGTCAACAAAACGACATGTTAGCATTCCTGGGCGTCCTGTGCAGATCATTAATTCAGTGATGTGGTCGCAGGATGTTCCTGATCTCATTGAGAGGAGCAGGGATCTATACACTCAACTCTGCATGTCTGGGAATAATACCCACAAGGAGTGGTACTGTAATTTCCATCCTATATTAGGTGTATATAGGTTGAGGAATCTGTTCTTAATACATTCAATCTCCATTAAATTAGATAGTTTTACCAACAACCATGTAATATGCTTTAGAACAAGAGCCTCGATGCAGTCTCCACCATATTCCTTATGCTTGTGTCCTGAAGTTCTGGGGAGAGGTTGTTGGCCTTACTAGAGGGGAAATGGAAACCAGGAATTAGTCTTTCAGAAGCATGTCAGTTTGTGCCATAGCAAAGCTGAGCTTTGATTAAGTTTATCGAGAGGAGTGGCAGGGTTGCTGCCACTAGAGAGAGTCAAAGTGCAATAAAAAGAGAAGAAAGTACAAGGACCTAAACGAAGCAATATCAGGAGGCGCTGACATAGTAGTCTTCCTGTTATAGCAGTGTACAACGTTTGGAGTAAGCTTCGTTACAGTGATACTGAAAAAGAAAACATTTAATCCTGCAGTTGATGTCACATGTGCCAAAAGGCTACAGAAGTAGCAAAAGCATAATTCAGTATTGAAATAACTATTACAATTTGAATGAGGGTAGCATAGGGCCTGATCCAGAAAACTTTTACTCAGTGTCCTTACCCAACCAATTGTAATAAATGGGACTATGGGTGTGAGTTATGACTGCTAAAGCAAATAAGGATTTGCAGGATTGGACCTTTAGTTTATAGCTTTCATAAGTCCTTCTAAAATACAGAATATGCCTATAACTCAGTGAAATAACTTGTGAATTATAAACTGTTAATTTATATTTTTTCCCTTTTTTTGGTGGTATCAAGTATCCCTTTCAGGACAATAGTGGTGAGTCTGTTGTCTCATCAAGTGCTGCTCCAGAATTTATATGATATCTTGCTGGAAGAGTTTGTGAAGGGCCCCTCTCACGTGGAAGAGAAGACAGTACAAATGCCAGAAACCAAACTGGCTGGTTTCCTCAGGTACATTTCCATGCAGAATTTGGCTGTCATCTTTGACTTACTGCTGGATTCTTATCGGACAGCCAGAGAGTTTGACACCAGACCTGGGTTGAAGTGCTTGCTGAAAAAAGTGTCTGGCATTTGTGGAGCTGCCAACTTGTATCGCCAGTCGGCAATGAGCTTCAACATTTACTTCCATGCCTTGGTCTGTGCTATACTGACAAACCAGGAGAACATCACCGCAGAGCAGGTGAAGAAGATCCTATTTGAGGATGATGAAAGAAGCACAGATTCCTCCCAGCAGTGCTCTTCAGAAGATGAAGACATTTTTGAAGAAACTGCCCAAGTCAGCCCCCCAAGGGGGAAGGAGAAGAGACAGTGGAGGGCTAGAATACCATCTTTGAGTGTTCAGCCAGTGAGCAATGCAGACTGGGTTTGGTTAATCAAAAGGCTTCACAAGCTATGCATGGAACTCTGCAACAACTATATCCAAATGCATCTGGATTTGGAGAATAATGTGGAGGAACCTCCAGTTTTCAAAGGCGACCCTTTTTTCATCCTACCATCCTTTCAATCTGAAACCTCCACCCCATCAACCGGAGGGCAGTCTGGAAAAGAGACACCCTCAGAAGATGACAGAAGTCAAAGTAGGGACCACTTGATAGACAATCTAACACCCAAGGGAGGGAGCGGAGAAATGCTGCTGCTACCACCATTGAGCCCTAAAATGGAGAAAAAAGACCAAGCCAGGAAAAAAGAATGGTGGGAGAGCGCTGGCAACAAAATCTACACCATAGCCACTGATAAAACTATCTCCAAACTCATGACGGAGTATAAGAAAAGGAAGCAGCAACAAAACTTGACCTCTTTCACCAAAGATGTCAAAGTGGAAAAGAAGGGAGAGTTGTTGGGCTCAAGAGGGCAAGATTCACCACTCCCCCAGCGACCGCAACATCTGGTGGACCAGGGCCAAATGAGGCATTCCTTCAGTGCCGGCCCAGAGATCTTGAGGCAAGAGAAGAGGTCGCGCTCAGGATCTACAGTCAGCTCCTTGAACATATCTGTGCGAGATGCAGAGGCACAAATACAGGTAGGACAATTGGTAGACTATATGGTAGGGTAATGCCAAAAGGGGTAGAAAAGATTAAACCAAAGTGTCTAGCATCAGAGATCTACCGAGTATTCCCACAAGCTGGAATTTATGTGACCCTACATCATGATCAAATCAGAGAAAGAGTATTGTGTGGAAGAATCATCAGAGACTTCAGGGAAATTGAAATGGGAGCTACTGGGTAAAATTTTCTAAAGCGCCTACGTGACTTTGGAGCCCATGTCCCATTTTCAAAAGTAATTTGGCTAATTAGTAGCCTAAGTCCCATTGACTTTCAATGAGACTTAGGCTGCTAATTGCTTGTCTGTTCTGAAAATGGGACTTAGGCTTCTAAGTCACTGAGGATATGTCTAAATTCCAGCTGGGAGGTGTGATTCCTAGCGCAGGTAGACACATTCACACTAGCTTATCTTGAGCTAATTCACGAGAACTAGCAGTGTCTACCTGGGCTGGGACTCTCACCTCCCAGCTCCAGTACAAACATACCCTTAAGTGATTTTGGAAATGTTACCAATTGTCTCAGATGTCTTATGATTAAGGCCTTACTTAATTGCGATATTGCGGAAATTGCAGATCCCGCAATATTAGACTTCCACTGCAATTTTGATTTTAATTAGCTTTCTTTGCACAGTCCACAATTTTACATTTTGAGGTTTGCCACACACACTTTTTTCCCCAGCAGTACAGTCAAACTCCATTTATCCGAGCTGGTAGCAGCTGGGCTCGAGCTGTCAGCCCCACGCAAAGCAGGACTCCCATTGTCAGCCCTGTGCATTAATGACTAATATAGTTGCAGCAAAATATCTAGTTATCAAAAAAATGAGCAGGTATAACACAATACTGGAGTATTTTTATTGTTCCAGCAAATTTTTCTTAAACAAATAGGTCTTCTCTGGCTTTTCCAAATTACCGCAATTAATAAAGGTCCATTATTACTTTTCTGCAATTTTTCTATGTCTTGTCCGTAACTCAGCTGCAATTATTTGACAATCATCCCGCAATTTAAGCAGAGCCTTACTTGTGATCCTCTTGTAATAGAACTGCTTCTTTTGTCAATTCTAGAGCAGAAATATTGAACTGATGACTGGTTGCTATTTGCATCTCTGGATGAGACACAGACTCTACAGGCACCAAACTTTGGATTTGTGCTCATTTTGTGATAGGATAGCATGTGAAGAAACACTACAATGGTGATGTGCTCACTGTTAAGCCAAAAAAAACCCTTCTCTATAATCGCATGAGGGATATATTGTGGGTCTTCCTGATTCCTATTGTACCCTATGAATACGAAACATGCTAGCATCGTTCTGGACTTTTCCTGCTGTCATAGCCTCAAGATATCTTTATTTTCTATCGTGTAATGTGACCCAAGAGGAGACTGTTCTCTCCAGAAAGTGCTAGTAATTTCTGTCTTCAATGGGATTTACTCATACACTGTGTATGTGGAGATTTCCCCCTGGAAATTGCTGCACCTCAAAAAAACAAAGCAATTTGTGTCTCCCTCTTAGAATGTGCACTGAGTGCCAGGGCCACAGAGCGACAGCTGATGCAATAACTAGACACCCTCCTCCAATCTTCCTTGCTGCTACATGAGCTTACTAGGGACAGAAAAGGCCACCCATGTCATCTCTCCTCTCCCACCCCAGAGGATCATGAGGATCTGGGCCTTGCCATTTAGAACCAAGTTCCAGACTCCATGACAGTTGCCTAATTTTTAGGTGCCCAGAGGCACATTTGTGAGGGCTTCCTTCCTCTCCATTACAACTTGACCCTAACCAGATGAAAGTATAGTTTGTAGTGCTCTTTCTTTAAGAGTCTGCAATCTCAGTTCAGTGAAGAGAGCGCCCCGTTCATCCTAATCCCTTATTCAAATCTCCTATGACTGTTCCCTTTGCAAAACACTGCAAAGATGAAGATGCTTATGTATTTTGAATTTAAAGGCGCAAGTGTATCCCTCGCTGAATTATTTTTCTCTTGGGAAAGAGAAGCAGGGCCCAAGACTTTATTTAATAATAACAACAAAAACGAAGTGGATTCTAATGGAATGCAAGGTTTGGAAGAATCTGCTTTTAAGATGTAGTGATGGGATAGAGACAAAGAGCCTGATTCTCATGTCAGTCATACCCCAGTGTATCTCCATTGACTATTGGGTAGTTACTTCTGATTTACACTGGTGCCACTGGTAGAAAATTGAAACCCAGACTGTGCTATGGCCTTCCAGTGGCTATTTATGGGGCTCTTTTCTGAGTCTGTACAGCAAAGAATTTTTTTTTTCTAATTTTGTTTTAGGCATGGACCAACATGGTGCTGACAGTTCTCAACCAGATACAGACCCTGCCTGACCAAACATTCACAGCCCTCCAGCCAGCTGTGTTCCCCTGCATCAGTCAGTTGACTTGTCACGTGACCGATATCCGTGTCCGTCAGGCTGTGAGAGAATGGCTCGGAAGAGTGGGAAGGATCTATGATATCATTGTATAAAGGAAACATGTTTCATTAGCAAGGGGAGAAGGAATCAATGGCTTTTACAGGTATACAAACATAATGCCGTTACTGAAAGTAACGGGTACGGAGCTACACATGCAATGCCTATTCGTGGTGATAAATTCTGAAACCGCAAGCTCTCCAACATGTCCTCTGCCCACTTAAGATTGTATGTTTGTCATTCTCACCCCAACAAAAGAAGCGCCACACTTCACATTAAGTAGCATAACATAAAAGCAAGAGATGAATCTGAAAATTGCTGGTAAATCAGGCTGGTACATAAAGGCTCAGTAAATTTCATAGTGTGTATTTTCATCTGTGAAAGTTAGATTGTGTATGAATGCACTTCTGCAGTGAGGAAAGGAGAAGAAATAGTCAAAATCTCCCTGGCTGCAGTTGGGATGAAAGCAACTGTTCACCTAACAGGTCTCTCAGATGATACCTATAATTCCCAAGATTTAGGACCAAAAGTATCAGCCTAACCTTACCTGGTCTCCATTTTTTTGAACATGTAATATTGTGAACCCCACTAATTGAATCCTCTGAACCTTCAATAATGGGTGGATACAACTCTCACTTAGATGTCTAAGTACAGGAGTTGATTGTGCTTCAAAACCCAGCATGTAGACAACTGAATCACCTCACTCACACACACCTACATAACTGAATAATTGTGAGGAAAAAGCTGAGGGCATAACAAGTGAAGGCAGGGGGGAGTGGTTGTTTGTTTGTGGTACTCTTTTAAATTTTCCACATGAAACTAAAATGCATCTGGGAAAAAAGTCACCATAAAGCTCACCAAAAAAAATATTGGCCTCACTGCTTACTCGTCATTAAAATTTATATTCTATGCAGAAGCTTTAAGCCTGGGGTGTTGGGTGACTGTTTTCTGTTGCACCTCAGGAAGATCCCAGCTGTAAACCAGTCACAGGAGAGTCACCTCTGGGCAGGAGAGGTTGCTGTAGCATAGCATTAGGGTAGTGGGTCCTTATATGGGGCATGGCTTGAAGAAAGGTGGAATTGCCAGGGCTCCTCTTCATCCTACTGTCAACCACATATACAACAAAACCCTCTCCGCTAATCCACAGTGCAGATACTATTACATTCATTCCACATCCATAACTCTCACTGTGGCAGTTCTTTTGTGACGCTAGTGAAGAATATGCACTAGTAAGCTAAATTGCAGCCTGGCCCAGAGAATTGTGGCAAACACCTAGCATTTAACCAAACACGATGGAAATATACTATACATTGGAGTCCTATACATAGAATTGGCTTTATGTTTTCACAGGAGAAGGTATTCTCATGTGTACAGCCTGTCTGCTGTAGCTCTGAGGATCCCCACTATTTGCAGCTATATTTACCCCCACTGCCAGTACCACTTGTTCATATGAGTCAAATTGGACAAGATTGGGCAGTGCTACTCTTCAGTTGGCCAGAGGAGGCCTGTGGTGGACTGAGTTCCCTGCTCCCTCATGCTTCTAGCTTATGCAGAGTTGACCCGTGGGCAGTCTGTGCATGTATCGGTGTAAAACAAACAAAAACAATCTTCATTTCAAAAGATGAACCTCAGCCAACAAGAAAATGCTCATTCTGCAAGGAATTCCATGCGAATGGCACACCTTTTAAATCTGTAGAATACCATGTGGGTGCAGGGTTTCTCCTGTGCTGATCTCCTTACAGGATTGGGGCCTAAGTTTTTGATAGAATCTCAGTGCTTTGGGATACTCTGGGGGAAGAAAAGACTTAAAACAGCCAGGATATTTCCAGTAAGTTTGAAGGGCTGGCTGATGAATAAGCAGCGTAGGTGTAATGGAGGGTCATCTCTGTGTGTGGAATCTTAATACAGTCCCTCTGACAGATAGACAATGTCCACTTGGTGCTCCCTTAATAAGTAGCCCCTAGGTTGATCATACTTTTGGTTATTCCTCTATTGTACTTAGAGATTTTAACAACTTTACATATAGACTTAAATGTACCTCTACACCTTAAGCCTCTATGGGTATGTCTATACAGCCCACGGCAGCAAGTCTCAGAGCCCGGTTTGACACTTAGGCTATGCTATGGTGCTCAGAACCCAAGCAGCTACTCGTCAATTTTAGCACTGTAGCATGAGCTGGGCAGTTTAGCTCTCTAGTGCATATTTGCTGTGTAACATCTGTTGCCGCAAGAGTTTCACCCATTCACACCAGACCTGACATGGGCCCATACATACATTGTATTTAGGGTTGCCAACCCTCCAGGATTAGCCTGGAGTCTCTCAGAATCTGCATCAATCTCCCGGTGACTACTGAAAGCAATCCAGGAGATTTTAATAGGCTAGTTTAAGAAAATGACATTACGTCATGTTGGGGGACAACATCTCCCAGAATACCTTCAGTCAGCATTGGCAACCCTCGCTGTATTGCTTAAATGTGCAGTTTCAACAGCTGTCTAAAAGGCACATCTATCTAATTGCCAAAAAAAGTTGAGGGAGTTTATCTGATGTGTGTTAAATTTTGTGCATGCACCTTTACCCAGCACACTACAATTGAGCTAATACATTCTGTGGTGTCAGCTCTCATATACCAGGCTGGAGCAGGTGGGGCTTTTTTTCCTTCCCTTGACAGCATAGTGGGAAATTAAGGTCAAAATATATGATTAAGTTAAATTAGTGATCTGAAATTAACAGAAGAAAAGAACTTAAAATCAGCTTCACGAGCCATGTAAGAATTGCAGCATCTTCTGTACAACTTGACTCTTAATGGCAGCTAAGTCTGCACCGTCCCCCTGCCCTGCTCCAATCTGGCTGCAATATGTGGGCACAGTGGCAGCATCCCTATGGATGCAATCTTAGGGCAATATTCTTTCCTCTGAACTTGTTCCTGTGCATTGCTCAGGCAGCATGAAGGAGGCAGAACGTGACCATAGCTTGCTCGCTGCGCATTCCCTGACGGAGGATCTCGAAACGAGAACAAGTGACTTCTGCTCTAACCACTCTCCCCCCCAGGATAGAGCAAGTTATGTGCTGGCATGTGGTTCCCCAGCATCCTCTCACCTCACACTGGGGCAGACGGGCACACATAAGGAGCTGTCACTGGTTCCCACCATCCCCACGACTACAGTGGGGCAGGAAAGGGTTTGCCCACACCGGCTCTAGGTTTTTTGCCAAGCAAAAAAATTTTGGCTGCCCCCCCCCAACTCCCCCGTCCCAGCCCTGGGCTCTCTCCTCCCACCCACACCCCCTGCAGCCCCAGCTCTGGGCTCCCTCATTCCCCCCACCATTGCCCCCCACACCCACCTCCCTGCCGCCCCAGCCCTGGGCTCTCTCCCCTCCCCACCTGCACCCTCCTTCCGCCGCAGCCCAGGGTCACTGGTAACTCGCTCCCACGGCAGGTCATTCAGCAGGCATTTTAGATGTGCACAGAACACAGACAGGATTGGTTCCCCTATGGTTACAAAAGTGCAGTAAAGTGGAACAATTTTCAGCTTGTGTGATTGGAGGATATCTGGATGCATATTCTAAGACTGTCCTAAATAAATGAGGAAAAGTTGAGGTGCCTTTATTATTCTTTTGTTCCACTCTTTCTTTCTATGGGGAATTTGCCAATGCAATATCACTGTCTTCCATTTTACACAAACAAACAAACAAGGCAATGGCTGTTGAAAATAGCAATTCCAGTCCTAATAACCACTGGGAAGCATTTCTTGCTCAATTTTATCCTACTTTTTCTA